GGAGACTGAGGTGGTAGAATTTGAATGGCCTGTTTAAATATCCACAATTGCCTGGCATACATGTTTGGGCTACAGAAGTGTAGATGGGAGGAAATCAATAGACAAGAAGAGATGTGGCTGAGGAGTGAAGAAGAGAGAGTAGAAGAAAGGATGAAGGAACTGTGGTCTGCAAAGTTGGGCAGGTGAGACCCACTTGATAGCTCTGTGTGAGGAAGGATTGTGGGCATTTGGGTTGTGTGGTATGAGATGTTGAGAAAGGGTAGGGAGATGAGCCTGAATATGACTGCCCACTTCCAAAAGAATAGTCAAACAAGGCATGGATGCTGTGGGCCTTCTGAGCAAGATGCAGTAACTTGTTAGTGGAGGACAGACCAAATGAGCAGGCTTTACCAACCAATAGTACATCCCAGGAGGATGTTGGTATAAATGACATCTCTGCTCCATCTGAACCCCCCAGGGTGACTTCCAATAAGAGGTTAAAGTATGGCTTATAAGACAGAGGGAAGATTAAGGCACCTGGCTAAAGTCTGCCTGGCTCTGATGCCTTCAGAGAGGCCATTTGCCTCTAGTCACTGTGTGCTTCCTCTCCATGCCTCTCCTTGCATCATACCCTGAGGCAATCTCTAACTAGCCTTTCAAAATGGGTGACTCCTCATGGGCAGAGATCCCAGACTGCCACATTCCATGATTTACAAGTCACCAACAGATGCTGTGCCTGTTAAATGGTATTAGGCATAAGCCTGGACATCCCTTTCCTTGCATTCACTCTATACCCACTTTCCACCAGCCTAGCAGATACAGCATGGCAGGCCCTTGAGCACATTGTATCTTGGTTTCCTCTGATGAGAGTGCCTGTTGCTCACTCATGGAGCCTCTCTGAGGGGTAGGAGATTGGTTCTATGTGGGACAAGGGCTGGAGGTTCTGCAAGACCCTGGAAAGAAAGCTCACTGGAGCTCTGGGACACTATTGTTTTTGGTAAGAGGAGTGTCATTCAGGTAAATAGTAGTTAGAATTTTAAGACATTCCAGGTACCTGGCAGGCTTCTGGACTCCTGGGCTTCATTTTAATCTACAAAATTGGATCATCGAGATGGCTCAGGGGTAAAGTTGCTTGCTTCGAAGCCTGGCCACCCGAGTTTAGTCCATAGGGTTATCTTCTCTATCTTCTACACATGTGCTCTGCCATGCATGTTGTGGCATTCACACTCATGTAAACATTCTCAACACACACACACACACTCACACATGCAAATAAATGCAAGAACACTTTAACAAATCTATATGAAAAAAAAATCTGTCCACTTTGGTATTTCAAACAAACCTCTTTGGGAACCGAAGTTCTGGGAAAAAGAAAATCCAAGCACTTGTGGTTATGGAGGGAATTCCACAGCAGTGAAGTAGGAGGGAGGTGGTACATGCAGGCATGTGCTTTCTAACCCTGAGGTCTCCCAGGACCTGGAGCACTGCTAAGCTCGCATGAGCCCTGAGTACGTGCCACTTAAGCTTGCCTGCCACTTCCTGCTGGCCTGAAGAAAAGAGCAGCTCACCCCTCACGTCCACTGTCCTCTGACTCATAGACCTTCTGGTCTTGAACTTATAATACGCACAGTGCCAGGCAGCCCTGAGGGGATACCCAGAAGTCAGAATCTGGGGATCCCCAGCATTAGAATCACTTTGATATTGGGCAAGAAAGGGGTGTGAAAACAGAGACCCTTCAGGGACCAGTGGTCACTAAGCCTCGAACCTGGGCACTAAGCCTGGAATCTGGCTTAGTGACAGTTCCGTTTTCATTTTGTCCTGCTTATTAATAAGTCTGTGATCTTGAAAAAGTTGCCCAGCCTCACCAAGTTTTCTTATATATTTTTATCTATAAACAGAGGTATACCATTAGCCATCTTGTAGGTGGTGTGGTGGTTGAAGAAGGGAGTAATAGATGCAAGGGTCCATCCACTGAGTCTCAAGTGCAGCTGACTGACACTTGGCTAGCAATGGCCTTTGACTGTGGTTGCCATTAAAGAAAGAAACAGGACTGAGAGGTGCGGTGAAGTCTGGCAAGGCCCATGGATGACAGACTGTATTTTGTTGAGTGAATGAAACAGATGGCACCTAGCTTAGTTACTTCTCTGACAAAACACCATGCCAAGGCAACTCTGAAAACAAAGTGTTTATTAGGCTTACAGTTTCAGAGGGTTAGAGTCCATGATGACAGAGCAAAGGTATGACATCAAGAACAACCCCAGCTCATGTCTTGATCCACAAGGGACAATGGGAAGCACAGTAGTCTTTTGAAACCTCAAAGCCTGCCCCCAGTGACATGCCTCCTCCAAGGAGGCCACACCTCCTAATCCTTCCCAGATGGTTCCACCAATGAGGACCAAGTATTGAAACATGGCCTGGGGGGCCGTTCTCATTCACACCACTCCAGTACCTCCCAGAAGAAGGACCTGCTTCTACAGTAAAGACAGGCGCTCTGCCTCAGAAGAATGAGTGCAGAGCCCATTCTCACTGCTTCCTTAAGTGGTGTAGGGACTGAATCCATTTCTCCCCTCTCCGTCCCTCAGGTACACATTCCACACATACAGAAACACACACAGGCCATCATATACCACCTTGCACATATATGAACAAGGACCCACATGACACACGCACAGCCTTGCCACCATACACATGTCTTGTACACACATACATAGACACAGCTACACAAAGACAGATTCAAACTCATGAATGCATGATGCACAGAGAGGGATGCATACTACGCACACATATACATATACCACTATGCACATATGCATACATCACACAAAAACCCATGTATGGACTGAACTAGGAGAGGAATGAAGGCAATGATAGCTAAAGCTAACCCTAAGGCTAATCCCATCCTGAAGCCCACAGATCTGCCAATGGGCTGTATCCTGTCCTACATCAAGGCTGTTTGTGGCCTCGGGCCCTGTGTAGATCCCTTCTCAGGGCAGCTGCCAAGCTTCCCAGCCAGCTATTCTCTCTTTCCTACTATACTAGGGGTTACACCTCCCACCATAAGCTTGTGCAACTGCTGGTGGCCAGTGCAAGATCTGTGAATGGAATTTACGCCAGCCATGCCTGCTGCGGACCAGTGAGACAGCCGTAACTTTCCTTCTGGGCATGATGTATCCATGCTGGATGCCAGGAGCCTCCTGCTGTGGGAAGAGGCAGGAGGGGGCTGGCCCATAGCCTCGCATTAGACCTCAGGCCACTTCTTGGCTCATCACTGCCCATGTGTCTAGGTGGCACGAGTCCTGTGGGGTGATGAAACTGTAAAGGATCCAGGCTGGAAAACATAACCCTGCCCCGGTAGCTTTCCTTCCGCTTTGTGTGGAGGGAACTGGGGCCAAATGTCATTTTCTCAGCCACATACTTTCCACTGCCTCACAGAGCCTGTGGAGTAGGGCCTGGCTTTGGACTCTGAAGCCTGTGGCAGGAGGCATTAAACCCTGGGCACCCAAATAATGGCTCTGTTCAATTTGAGATTCATTTGCATCCTAGCTGGACAGACAGGGCTCTTGGGTCGCTGGAGCCTTCCTTCCAGCCTGGCCCTTACTGTCCCCATCTCTCCCTCCCTGGACTTGCTTAGGGTGTGTCTCACACAGCACCTCAGGGTGGCCTGAGGGAGAAGGTCCAATTACTAGCTTTTTCATCCACCAGTTGTAGACAGTAGCAGTAAGCCACATTATTCTGCTTAAGGATTAGGTAAGAGGCTGCATGGAAATTGATTGACATAGAGTACCTCACTGTTAAGCACTGTTGACAGCTGTTGCTATTATATGCTGTGCTTCACAGTATCCAAAAGCAAATTTGGAGCTGAGGACATCAATTAGGGGTGGGGGAATAGTTGGAATCAGCCAGGAAAAATCATGGACATCTCTAAGACATCTGTGTGTTAAAGACAGAAAGAGCCCAGCTGAGGATCAAGCATAGATCTGGCCAGTCCTTGGCAGATGGATGGAGGCAGGGACTCCTTTGGGGATTGTCGCAAGATATGGCAATGTCTCCAGTGGGACAAGGGACAAGGGCAGGAAGTGAGAGGTTCTGGATGAGCTATGCCTTGGAGAAGCCTGAAAAGTGTCAGTGTGACTCTGGGAATCCCTCCTTCCAGTCATTTTGAGAGCGTGGTCTCTAAAGGTCTCAGTATTCACACAAAGGCGTTCCAACAGAGTGACGGGGAAGCGAGGAGAACATCGAGGAGTAGGCGCCTTCTCCTACCCTCCCGTCTAGCCTTCTTCTTCCTTCAGAAGAGTCCTGCTAGTGAGTCTCTCTCAACACAAACCCAAACCTCTGTTCTCACTAGCCCAGAAAGATTAGAAGGTGGCTCCCTAAGACATTCAGAATTTTGCCTTGCCGCAGCCAAACAATCATCCCAGCCCTATTTAACTCTCAGCTCCCAAGGCTTGAGGCTTGCCTAGTCATGGCGTGCTCAGCACTGGGTGCTTTGCTTCCTTTTCTGCAAGCAGGGCCTCCAGGGCTTTACCAGGAGGAATGATGTGAAGTAGTGTGCCAGGTGGCATCAGTAGTTTAAGGAGGCCCGAGGCTGACCTGCATGAAACTCTCAGTCTTACTGACACACATGGAAATGTACACAGACATATCCATTTGTACGTTCGCACACATTTTGGAGTAAAATGCAAAAATCCAGATTATTTTGAGATCATGAAAAGTCAAAGGATACTTTCTTATTCTTTTCTATTAAAAGCCCATGTAGGAAGAATCTACTGCTCGTGGCTCTCCATGTTTTCTTGTAGGGAAAGGGGGAGTTTTGGAGGCCACTCAAGACTTCTCTGAGAACTCCAAGTCATCCTCGGTGCCATGTACCCGTTGGGAGTACTTGGGGCCCTCTGCATAGCCTGGAGAGAGGCAGACCTGGCAAACTCAGCCTGTGGGCCCCGAGGAAGTAGTTGCTGTTTCGCACCTGTCCAGAGCCAAACTCCTACCATAATCCCTACCCTTCCGCATATCTTTCTTCACAGAGCCTAAATATACAGGTGGAAGACATCCGCATCCGGCCCATCCTTTCTGCCTTCCGCCATCGCAAGCCTGTGACAGAGGGCTACGTGGAGGTGAAGGAGGGCAAGACCTGGAAGCAGATCTGTGACAAGCACTGGACAGCCAAGAATTCCCACGTGGTCTGTGGCATGTTTGGCTTCCCTGCAGAGAAGACCTACAACCCCAAAGCCTACAAGTAAGTGGGCAGGGCCAGAGGGGGCGGGGTTTCCTGGGCTCTTATGCTTGTGGGGTCAGGGCCAGACCTAGTGATGGCTGTTTCACTGACTGCTTAGCCTTGCTTTTGAGTAACCCACACTCCTGTAGGAAGCAGGCTTGATGATGGAACTAGAATAGCACATAGGAAGGCTTACCCAGTGAGGCACAAAGTACTCCAGCCCAAGGAAATCCCACCACCAGTTCCAGCAGCCACTGGGGAACATATAGGCTATAGATAAGCTATAGAAGGGCAATACACAGGTTGGGTAAGGATAGCACTGACTTAAGAAATGTTTGGTGTGCCAGTGTCTCTTGGTGGCTCAGGATGTCTCTTGCCCTGGAGATTACTAGAGTATTCCTTTTAGACCAGCTCTTACCAGCCCCATTTTTCCCTTCCCCCATCTCTGCCAGATTCCCTCAGGACATGCCTGTGGAGCATTTTTTTTTTTTTTTGTTGTTTAATGATTGATGTGGAAAGGCCAAACCTCTGTGGGCAGTAGTACCAACTCTGGGAAGATGGTCTTAAGTTTTATAAGAAAGCAGGCTAAGCAAGCCATGGAAAGTGGGCATTTATATGAAGGTCTCTGCTTGGGCTTCTGCCTCCAGTACTCTGTGTATGATATAAGACAGCCAGCAGAAGTTCCTGAGACAAGAACCTCTTCTACCTTCCCCCAAAATGGTGGAAGGGGATAGAAACTTTTCTACATCACAAAGAGGAAAGAATGCTTCAGAGTTACTCAGTTGATGGATTATGGGTACTCACATACTCCAGAGTTATCCAATTGACTATGGGTCCTCACAGGCTCCAGATTTACTCAGTTGGTGGCTGATGGGTACTCACAAGCTCTAGAGTTACTCAGTTGATGGATTATAGGTCTTACAAGTTCCATAGTTACTCGGTTGATTATGATGCTCCTGGAAGGAGGATGAGGTTGACTAAATTCTTTTTTGGTTGTCCCAACAGATAAGCCTTAGGTCAAGTGAGGGGTCTAACCTGAATGATAGTAATGGGCTATCACACTCTCTTAACCAATTCCAAGACTTGGGTCAGTTTACAGACCCAGAATTCCAGAACAAAAGGGAGGTGTGCCTCCTTCAGGAAGGACCTGGGTACCTTGTGCCAAACCCTTATGCTGCTTTTCTCCCAGCCCTCTCCAAAGAGACCCTGTACCTGGGTGGCTGCGTGTCAGGAAGGAAGGAGTAATTGGATCTTACATGGAATGTTGGACACAAGCTCTGAACTGACCCAAGAGTATTGTGTATGTATGGTTCACTAGTCCAAGAAGGAGTTTTAGCTAAAGTTCTTCTCACGTGCACCCAATACACCCCAATCCTTTCCTGGTGATGATTCCCCGGGGTTTAGAAAGTGTAGTTAGAACAGACACACTGAGTCCCTGGCAGGCTCTCACAAAATCTAGCTTTCCCTTCGCTGGAGAGAGCCACTGGGACTCTATGCTTCCAGAGTAACTCCAGCTCATTAACTGCTACAGCCCTGCTGCCTTCGAACTTGGCAGAAGGCTGCCCCCAGCCTTAGTCACGCCTCTTGTCCAGGCCTGGGGGCGGCCATGCTTCCTTCCCCCTCAAGTCATCTCGGCTTCTCTTGGGCCGGCTCAGCCACCTTGTGAAAGTGAATGAGGATGGGGGTGGGGTGGTGCTCTGGCTGCTGGAGGCCTGTGGAGGGTCGTGGTGGGCGGCACATTCCAGAAAGCTGATGTAAGACAGAAGCAGGGCTGTCTGGGGGAAGACTGGAGCAGGTCGGAGGCGGCCCCTGTGCTGGTTGAGTGAGGGTGGGGCTCACCAACAGCTGGAAACAGATGACTTTCCCAAACCAGCAGTGGGGTCACCGTGCTCTGACCTGGAACAGCTCATGTTCCCCTGAGTGTATTCTCAGGCGTGGAAGGGAGGTGAGGTTTCTCAGAGCAAGGGGCCTTACAGGAAGTGGGGAGGGGTAGCTGCTCTGGAATTCCTAACAGCCCCCTCATGGACCTCTCTACTGTATGATGTCACTGTGGTGAGCACACATCCTGATAAAGTCTGTATTTTAGATATTTGACTGTTTGTACCCACAGCTGCACCAGAATTGTTTTGGTAAAGGGGAGACAAAAATGACACCTAAAGAATTTGTCTACCCTCTGTGTTCACATGCCATTCACCCCAAGACAAAGCAGATGTTTCTGAGGAAGCTGGACCAGTAAGGACAAGACTTCACATCTGCCCCTCCGAGGGTCTCCTGCCCAGAGAGCATCCTCCCCCGGGGTAGCAGGCAGCTGTGCTGCTGGCCTCCTCAAGCATCTCTGAGTCCTGCCAAGCAGGGACAAGAACACAGGCTCTAAACTCCAGATAGCTTCAGAGGATGGGGCGTTCCCCACATACCCTCTTTAGACCCCAGGATTTTTCATAGCTAATCTTCCAGCAAATGGTCCTCATCACTTCAGCAAGGATAGTTCTCTCTTTTTAAATGCAATTTAAAGGTTGTACTCATTTTAATTTTATGTGCCTTGGTGTTTTACCTTTATGTATGTGTCTGTGTGGGGGTGTCAGGTCCCCTGGAACTGGAGTTACAGAAAGTTGTGATCTGCGGTATGTTATTGAACCTGAGTCCTCTAGAAGAGCAACCAGCGCTCTTAACTGCTGAGCTGACCAATCCTTCCTTTTATTGCTTGTTTCCCCTCTTTTAGCCATTTTATTACTTTCTTTCTTTCTTTTAAATGTGTGTGTGTGTGTGTGTGTGTGTGTGTGTGTGTGTGTGTGTGTGTACCTGCCTGCAGAGGCCTCAGATACCTCTGAAGCTGGCGTTATGGTGTGGTGCTAGTAACTGAACTTGGGTTCGCTATAAGAGCAGTACATTCTTCTTAGCCACTGAGTCATCTCTCAGTCCTCTAGTTACTTTTCTTGTCATTGTGACAAAGTACCTAACTAATGCACTCAAGGAAGAAATTTTTTCCTGACATTTTGTGAGGTTACAGTCTGTGGTGGACAGGGGGAGGCATAGTGGAGTTCTTGGTGACTGGAGCTGGGGCTCCTCACATCCCTGTGGATCAACAGAGAGGGCACGGATGAGACTCAGTCCTGCGGAGACCTACTTCCTCCTGCGAGGCCCTACCTCCTCAAAGTCCCACAGCCTCTCAAAACAATGCCACCAGCAGGGGGCCAAATGTTCAAACATACAGCCTGTGGGGGACATTTCACATTCAAGTCACCACTACAGTTTTTATTCTTGTCAAAAATCTCTCCCTGGGATCTGTGCACTGTTTTCAAGTGCTTTGCACGCATTTGTTCATTTAAATGCAGCAATGTTATGGTAACTCCTGGCTGTAAACCCTCCCTTCTAAGTCATCAGAAAATGTGCATATGTAGATTTAGCTGTGAGTGTCAGTTACTAGAACTGGAAGATGTCTTTGCTGTAGGAGGTGGGTCTTTCTCCTGGCACCAAGACTCTTGCCATGGCCATTGCCTCTCCCAGCATAGTTCTTCCTCTAGTAGTCTCAGTCTCTGACCTTCACCCACCATCACAATAATGCTGTCTTGACTGTCCCCCTCTACTACAAGTTGCAATGTAGTAGTAAGAAGTGCTACCTTTAAGAGGTAGTTAGGTTGTAAGAGCTCTAACCCTGAATGGACTGATGCTGTTTTCATGGGTCTGGCTTACTTATCTTACCCAGTTGGCTGTTTCTTCAAGGGAGGGGTTTTTTTTTCCAAACCATGATTCTTTAACTGTTACACTTTTAAGAGAAAAATAAAGCCCCAAGTGGTGATGCATGCCTATGACCCGGTAAGTGGGAGACTGGGTTCTAGGAACTGGATCTACTAACTACTAGAGGAAGGGAGCAGGTGGCTGCTGAGATGCCCTGGTTGCCCATCTCTTCCCTTTCCCTGCAGAACATTTGCCTTGAAGAGGAAGCTGCGCTACTGGCAGTTTTCCATGAACTGCACGGGCACTGAAGCTCATATCTCCAGCTGCAAGCTGGGCCCTCCAGTGTCCCGGGACCTTGTGAAGAATGCCACCTGTGAGAATGGGCAGCCAGCTGTGGTCAGTTGTGTGCCTAGCCAGATCTTCAGCCCTGATGGGCCCTCAAGGTTCCGGAAAGCCTACAAGCCAGAGGTAAGGACTGGGCAAAAGGTATAGGCACTTGGTCTATACCTCATGATTAGAAGGGAAACAGGAAAGAGCCCACTCTGTGGCTCTTCGCACGAGGAAATCACCCCATTGTTGGCCAGCACAGGCTCCTTGTATTCTGTTCTTTAGTTCAGCATGAGCAAGTGTTAGGGAATAGCCAGCCAGGGACCTTGTGCTGAGGCTGAGTTCCTGAAGGAAAATGCATCCAGGACTCAGGAGTTATAGGAGGCAGGATACAACTCTGAAAGGCACACGACATCAGCTGTGTTGTTTCTAACCTATTATGGCTTATTTTAAAAAAACAAAAGCTGACTGCAAAGTTTTTACTGGTTAGAAAACCTGCCGCTGTCATTCCCAAGTCATCTCTCCACTGGCCGCATTATTATTACAGGAACCAATCACTGGTTTGTATAGAGCAGTGGTTCTCAGCCTGAGGGTTGCGACCTCCAAAGGTCATGTTAGATATCCTTGCATGTCAGATAATTACATTACTTAGCAAGATTACAATATGAAGTAGCAATGAAATGATTTTATGGTTTTTGGGGGATCACAACAACATGAGGAACTGTATTTTTTGTTGTTAATTGGTTTTTGTTTGTTTTTTGAGACAGGGTTTCTCTATGTAGCCCTGCCTGTCCTGGAACTTACTCTGTAGAGCAGGATGGCCTTGAACTCACAGAGATCTGTCTGCCTCTGTCTCCCAAGTACTGGGATTAAAGGTGTGTGAACCACCACCACCCAGTAGAGGAACTGTGTTAAAGGGTCACAGCATTAGGAAAGTTGAGAGCCACTGTGAGAGTAATTGGGCTTGGGGTGGGGGCATCTTCCCATATGAACTAGGTCATGAACTAAGTTCTCCATTTCAACTGACTGATTCCCAGAACAGATGACCAAACAGGACAGGCAGCCCTCTGAGAAAGAAAGGGTCTCTAGCTTTCCCTCCCTTCCTCTGTTGTTTCTCTCCCTCTCCTCCCTCCGCCCCGTGTGTGTGTGTGTGTGTGTGTGTGTGTGTGTGTGTGTGTGTTAGGGATATGTATGTACTGGAGATGTGTCTGTATGTGTTTGGGATGCTTATGTGTTATTGGGTATTAGATGTTTGGTGTGTGTGTGTGTCTGTGTGTGTCTGTGTGTGTGTTTTCTGAAAATGGCTAATGCACACAGAGAGGCAGAGTGATCATAGATCAGGTGTTCAGTCACAGGCCTGATGAAACCTCCATCACGGGCTAAGTCCCAGGCCATTTAAAACCTCAGTAGACAATCATGTTTGCAGGGTGAGTTCATGCCAGGGGAAAGGAGTGGGGGAGGAAGGAACCTTCAGGGGGAGGGCATTTGGAGGAACAGTAAAAGTGCCTCTCCCTTCTCTTCCACCCACCCTATGCTTTTCCGCACCCACTTCTGAGGTGCCCCAAGAGACAGGCAGGCAGGGAAGGAGGTGGTGATAACCCTGGGAGGATTTGAATGAAAGTCCTAGTAGTAAGTGAGAGGAGTGAAATGCATGCTGGGAGCCCAGCCCCGTCTGTGGGGATTATTTAGAGGGACCTCCTAACTTCCTGGCATTTCTGGGAAACTTAGCCTGACCTTCTCGGTCCCCTTAAGGTGCCTTGGATAGGCAGAGATGTGACTTCTTTATCAGACACCTGTGTCCCTGCGTCAGAGGCACAGCTGGTCAGTGCTATTTGTGGGCTCCAAACTGGCCCTGCTCTGAACCCTCACTTCGCATGCCCTTTGTTCTGCAGGCCCCATCCTGCTTCCTCCGGCCCCCCAGCTCTCCTGTCAGCTAGAGTTCCAGATCCTACTGTTTTGGAATTCCTCTGCTGAGCTTTATAAAGCAAAGCAGTCAAGCTCATACCAAACCAGTGAACAAAGTGGGAGGCTGACCTCACATTTTCCTTGGTTTCTGTCTTCACTCCGTGGCCAGCTGGATCGCTACCTGACCACTTCCAGCGTCTGTGGCTAGGCTATCTGATAGTCTGTCTCCATCCAGCTGTGGTCAGGATGGCAGCTCCACGTGAGTGTGAGGGGCCCCCGCATCCACTCATGAGCTTGGGAAGGAGGTCACGTTTCTGATGACAACAGAGGCTGTAGCCAGTGGTTTTACTCACTGTGCTTTGTTTTCTAAAGAAAGAATGGAAGTTTTCGAAGCCTCTGAGAGTTTCACACCCACCCACCCTCCTTTATTTTTCCCACTAGTGCTAGGCTTAGCAGTCCTTGGGGAAACCTGTGAATGTGGGTGGTGTCACAGAAAGGCTAGCACCCAGATGTCATTGTGGGGAAGCAAGAGATGACTGGAGAGAGGCTCTTACTTGGTGCCTTGTTCCTCAAGATGGCAGAGGGCTTGAACACTTGAAGCATGCCACCTTCGGGCAGATCCCCGGTCATCAGGATATGGCCTGAATGAAGTCACAGGCTGTGGACTACCTTAAAGTCACAGTAGAACAGGTATCTAGACTGGTCTGACTACCATGGCTTCACAGCCTTCCAATGAGTATCAGCCATGACTCATAACCCTGCAGACTTATTCAAACGTGCTCGCTCTCTCTCTCTCTCTCTCTCTCTCTCTCTCTCTCTCTCACTCTTCCTCTCTTTCTCTCTCTCTCTCTCTCACACACACACAGGGGCATTGAGCATGCAAACATAGGCTTGTACGCATGCATAGAAACAAGCAAAGCAACTTGTGTAGACAGGTGAAATCAACTCCTATCCTTTAAGACATAATCCACAGGCTTCATGAATCTGGCAGGGAATGGGTCCTGTGTAATTCCAGAAGCCCCAGAAAGGGGCTAAGGCTTCCAGACAGGAAGTGTAAGACTAGGGGCATCTAAGCTACCATCTCCACCCTCTCTGTGTAGACAGGCTGCATCTTCTGGAGTAGGATGGTGGTTAGTCTTAACTAGGAAGACTCTCCTCATCCCTTGCAGCTTGCCTGCTCTGAGTCAGGTCCTGGTTAGGTCTGGCTTTCCTGATAAGGGCCCTTGCTTTCACTCTGTGTCTTGCCATTTCCTGTGGGCTCCCTCTGCTTTACAAGCAGAGTCAGTGCTTGCATTTGGCTCCTTACCAAGGGCCTCCCTGCAGTACTAGACTGGAAATCTCTATTATAAGCTGTGGAAAATGAAGATTTACTTGGAAGCTGTGGACTTGGATGGTAGAAACTTCTCCATGTATCTCTAAATGTTGGGGGGGGGGGCTCCAGAGCTGGGGCTAGAAGGATGCAGCTGATGCTGGAATCTAGAAGCCAAGCCTGGGAAGGGGTGATGTGCTGATGAGGGTCTTGGATGGCCTTCCTAGCTGTCCAGGACAGAGGCCCGTGAGAATCTACATAGGAAAGTTTTGCCATGCTGACCCTCAACAAGCTGAGCACATTCAGGCTCTGAGCTATGGGGATCTGGCAGGGCCATGGGGTGGGGCAGTGACAGCTCGAAGGATGTGTGTCCCTTCTGCACTCAGCAGGACCATGTGTCTCTTCAGCAACCCTTGGTGCGGCTGAGAGGTGGAGCCCAGGTCGGGGAGGGCCGAGTGGAGGTGCTCAAGAATGGAGAATGGGGAACTGTCTGCGATGACAAGTGGGACCTGGTGTCTGCCAGTGTGGTCTGCCGAGAGCTGGGCTTCGGGACTGCAAAAGAGGCTGTCACAGGCTCCAGGCTGGGGCAAGGTAAGGGATGGAGGCGCTGAAGGTAGGAGTCTCTCTTCAGGGGAAAACATGGCCCTGGGAACCTAGGCCCATCTGGTGGCCATGATCCCCTCAAGCTAAACTTTACTCCCTCCTTGCAGCAGCCCATCCACTAGGAGATCCTGGAACACCCCTCCCCACTCCCACCTCCAGCCAGATCCTTAGAGAACACCAAATCCCCATCTGATGGATTTGGAACTGCCACCTAGAGAAAGGATGAACGGTCAAAGTGAGATGATAGATCAGCCGCCAGGTCTCCAGGTCTCCAACTCCCGCCCCATACTCTTGCTGCTCCAATAGGAAAGCCAGAATCCCAGGTCCTTCCTCCAGGAAATGACCTAAGGAAATCATCAAGCATAGCTGCACACAAAACAGCCAACTGTCACCAGGCTTTCCCACCCTGGTGCAGCCTTGCATTGGGCATCTGACAGCAGAGAAAGGAAACATGGCAGCCCCGTCTGACATCATGAGTCAGTCATGAGAAGGAAGCTGGTTTTCATCAATGTCCTGAGCACATTGTTTGTTTGTCTGAGCACGGGAGGCTGGGAGTGGTGCTGTCTGTCTCCTTAATCACAGAACAGATTACAGCCTCTCCTGGGTTAGTCCATGAAATCCACCCAGTCTTGAAAGCCCTGGTCCATCAGGAGCCTTCCCCAAGACCAAGCAGCCTTGTGAGTGCCAAGCCCGCCCTTGCAGAACTGTGTTCAAGGGAAGGAAGTTTGGTTCTGCATTGACCAGTACATAGGGAGGCTGCTGTGGTAGTGGAGATGGGGCTTGGGCTACAGAGGGGTAGGATGGCCCAGGTCAGTGGTTCTCAACCTGTGCGTCGCAACCCCTTTGGAGGGCTGCGTGTCAGATATCCTGCATAGCAGATATCCGTATTACAATTTACAACTGTAGTACAATTACAGTTAGGAAGTACCAATGAAATAAGTTTATAGTTGAGGGTCTCCACAACGCACAGAACTGTATTAAAGGGACACAGCAGTAGGAAGGTTGAGGACTGCTGTCCAAGGCTGTGAGAGGAAACCCATACTCTTGCAAATGGAGCCATCATCCCATTTACTGGTTGCAGCCTGAAGGAAGTAATATCCCCACTCACCCAGGCCCTGAACACTACATCAGTGGTCCTCTCTATTAGGACTCCAGCTTCCTGGCTGACCTTCACCCCCAGCTCAGTTAGAGAACACAGAACTCTCATATCCCAGCAGTGCAGCTCATCCACTGTAGCTCATCTGCTTGACTTCCTGAATCATGCCATGCCCCCAGCTGCCCTGGGAGTGAACGTAGGAAAGTTCTGGGGTCATAGACCTGGCTGCTGGAGAGGACCTCAGTTTCTCTGGCCCATCATATGAGGAATCTGAGGCTCAGGGAGACCTAATAGTTGGCAGCCAGACTGAAACTCAAGTTCCCTAACTCAGGATTTTTGCTTCCTTTTTTTTTTTTTTTTTTTTTTGATATTGCCTGTTTTGATGTTTTGATGACATTTGACCCTTTCTTGTGCAAATATTTCTAGTGTGTACTAAAGGGTAGGTGGTTGGAGACAGATGCAGCATATTGTGTTACCTGGCAGTCCCTGGCTATGACACAAAACAACCCATTCTCCTTAGATCCCAGTGAAGGAGTCAGGTCTCAGTGTTTCCATGATCCACTCTGTTGGTTGATCCACATGGTCTGAGCTTTCCTACGGTCCACAGGACCACAGCCACTCATCCCGAGGCATAAACAAGCACTTGATGACATGGACATTCCATGTGTCATGAGCGGGTGCTGTATGACCTAATTCTTTCACCACCCAGAACAGCCAAAGGTTTACAAGTGCCTGAGGAATTCTAGGAAGAAGAGGCTTTGGGTGCCTTTGATGCTGGCCTTCAAGGCACCATGGAAGATTTATCTGCCTTTTTCCACGTTAGGTAGATGACGATAGTAGACAGGAAAGGTGAAGTACCACATTCAAAGACGTGCCCCAGAGCAGATAGGGTCAGCTCCTGAGTCCTGGCTCTAGCCGACGGAACAAGAAACCACACCCAAACCCATGGGTACTGAAAGGGCAGAGGCTTAGTCCTCACCCTGGCCTGGCTACTTGCTTGTCTGTGACCTTAAAAGAACCTTCTGGTCCTGCGATTCTTTACTGTAAAACAAGGTAGCTGGATAGGTGATGTGTGGGGCTCTGTCTGCCTCTGGCATCACCAAGATGGATGTTCAGGTTATGGTGAGCTCTTCCCTCTGTACTTCAGGACTGTCCCGCAAGGTCCCAGCTGTCTGCCGACACATGCACCTTCCCTGACAACTGAACCAAGTGTGAGGGAACCTGTGTGCCTTAGCTCCTGTCCTTAGTCTGTGCCAAGCAGGTACCGCTCTGGGGTGTCTGGCAGGAGGAGAGTGAGGAAGGGAGGCACCTCAGGAAGAGGGCGGCATACTCCAGTTCAACAGGGGTGGTCAACTGAACAAATACCTGGCAAAACATTCCAACCAGTGCTTTCCAGCGGAAACAGCCGCATAAGTAATTTTGAATTTTCTAGTAGTGACTTGAGAAAGAATTGCAGGCCAAGTTAATTCTAACAATATATATTTGTTCAACCCAGTATATGTAAACTATCATGATTTTAACATGCAGTTAATAGAAATGCTGTTAACATGATTGCTTGCATTTTCATAATACAGCTTGTCATTCATCCTGTATTCTATGCTTACAACCCATATACTTGTCCTGGCTACGTTTGGAGTAACCAGGCTCCTGACTATTGGGAAGGGCAGTGCTAGAGAAGTGTCTGCCAAAGCCTTTTGTCCACAGTAAGAAGTGCATGTGGCAGGTCTGTCACACATGCAACACTGGGTTGTTGTGATGTTTGCATGAATTAAGATAAGATGCATGTGTGGGGATCCAACACATAGTAAACATCCACTGCGAGCATCTTTCTGCCATCACCCTCAAATTTACAACACAAGCCCCAGTCCTATGGCTCTGTATTTTGTTGTAGCCTTTGTACTTTGGTCCTTGTAATCTTCCAGTCGTTTTTCATAAAGTATTTTTTACTAATGTATAAAATTCCAAGAAATCGGAAACTTACTCATTTATAAATTTCTAAGGAAGCAGAAACTTAGCACTTGCCTTCTAGCAGCCAGTTTTTGGCCTCAGGACAGCCGGATAGTGACTGCTCTATACACTCCGCTCCCCTGATAGGGCCAAAGACAGACCCTCCCAGGCTCTGAGAACCTGTGGCCACCTTTATTTCTGACTACATATGCCATAAGTCTCCATGTAACTCCTGCCTGCCCAGGCACTGGTAACTTTGCAGGGCAGACTCTGCTTCCTGAGTCCATACCCCACTGCACTGAGGCTCAGCAATGTCAGCGGCATCTGTGTGGACACTGTGGGGATTTCCTGCCTTTCTGAGCACCAGCTGAGAATATAGCAAAGGAAAACATGTTCTCTGCCCTTTTGGGGGGAGGACGGCATCAGGGAACCAGTTAGAGCAGAGTGCTCACAGCGGCAAAGCAGGGTTACAGGGCAGGGTGCAGCATAGGCAGGAGTGGCGTGATGATCAGAGAGGCTTCTCTAGGGAAATGAAGGGAGGATAGGTGTCAGTGGGCTGTGAGAGGGAGAGGCCAGGCATAGGAAGGGTGGTGGGCTGTGAGAGGGAGAGGCCAGGCATAGGAGGGAGGGAGCACTGAGCTCCGTGACAGAATCACAGATCCCTGTGGCTTATCTGGGAGGAGTCTAAGGTTCCTATGGCTGAGGTGGAAGGAGCCTAAGAGTTCTGTGACTGAGATGGGAGGCATGGACAGAGCTGGATCCTAAGTGGGAGGCCACATAGTACGGCCTCCAAGACCATCTGATGCCACTGGACAAAGGACAGTGCTACCTAAGGGCAGTGAGAAGTCACTGGAGGCATTTAACATGGATTTAAAGCCCCCCCCATGGGGTTTTATGCGGGGGAAGGTATTGGAATAGGGGAGGGAGGGAGGCTAAGTGTTATTTGGTCATTGTCCACAGGAAAAGAATTTATGGTTCGAGAAATGGGAGGTAGGAACCAAGCACCCAGATTTGGGGATGAGTGAGTGGAATGCGATGGGTGGGTAGTCTGGGATAGAGGATGGGTTATCTGGGTTTGAGGAAACCCAGAGGTGATCCAACAATGCCATGGGGGCTAGGAGGTGCCAGTTCCTGATGTGGGGAGGGGCTGTAGAGAAACAGCTAGGGATGAGAGGCAAAGCCAGATGACTCTTCAAGCAGAGGGGCCTGAGTGCCCCTTTTCGCCAGTCCGAGGCTCACTTTCATTGTCTCAGCCTCAGAAAGACAGGCTTCTTAGCACCACCTGGCTGTGGCCTTCAGCGTGTCCCCTGCCTGCCCTCCTGGGCCCACTCTCCACCCTCACCATGATGCCCAGTGCCTCAAGGCATAGTTGGGTTTTGCCAACACAGGATACTGGTGAGAACTGGAGGTGACCAGAGGGGAAAGACACAGGCATTCCCCGTGGGCACTGTGTCCCTCCATGGAGGGTGACAGCTGTTTTCAGGGGTCTTCTTCTCTCCATACCTCTCCTAAGTGAGTTATTGGCTCTTATCTCACTCACAAGTATCTAAGCCCTGAGCTTCTTTTTAGTCCTGAATCTTAATCACCCTGTGACGTACACTCCCTACACCTCACCCTTGGCTGTATTTTAAAATGCCCTCCTTTCTAACTCAGACCTCCTAGTTTGTGTAGGTTACCTGTTTTCTGCAGGGACTTTTTCAGGCACAGCCATTGATTGCTGCTACTTTCAGACTCCTAAATGCCTACACTATGGTAGCTGCAGGGTAAAGGCTTCATCATCTAATCTGATTTCTTTATGAGAAAGAGAGAGCCCCACTGACCAGGGAGACTGGGTGTATGAGTTACTGTTCCCATTGATAGGATGTGACAAGAGGCAACGTTAGAAAAAGATGCTTTATTTGGGCTTAGTTTATTTAAGAAGGGATATAGTCCATTTTGGAGGGAAAGGCGTGGTGGCTAGAGCATGAGGCAGCTGGTCCCATTGTATCCATCTGAGGTCAGAAAGGAAATAATGGACAGGATGTGGTACCTGGCTTCAAAGCCTCCTCCCCCACAACTCACTTCTTCCAGCAAGGGTCCATCTAAAGTTCTCCCACTCGTTCCAAAACAGCGCCACCAGCTGGTGACCAGGTATTCAAACCCATGAGCTTGTGGGCGGCATTTTACATTTGAGCCATAAGACTAAGCGATCTACCCAAAGTCATATGGCAGTTCAGTAGTGAATTTTACTGAACGTATGGCAAAATATGCACCCCTAGTTCTTTCCAGGGAGAGGGGGCTGTGGTTGGGAGAGTTCTGAAGATGGAAGAGCAGAGTTTGGTGTCTAGGGTCTTTCTTTCCTGTTCCAGGAAACTTCCCCCAGGCAATTTTATAGCACATATCTTCTTTCCCTTCCTAGGGATTGGGCCCATCCACCTCAATGAGGTCCAATGCATGGGGACTGAGAAGTCCATCATAGACTGCAAACTCAACACAGAGTCACAGGGCTGCAACCACGAGGAAGATGCTGGCGTGAGATGCAACATTCCCATCATGGGCTTCCAGAAAAAGGTGAGGAGGTGGGATGCCCAGAGGGAAAGAATACAAACCAGGTGGCCTTACTCCAAATGACTGTCCAAGGTATGCACAAGTGCTCTAAGGTGAACTCTTGACAATGACTATGCCACTGCCATCGACAGCCAGCATTTCTAACACACAAATGCCATGCTGCTCTTGGTGTGGCAGGCATCTGACATCTCCCTGTGGATGATCCCTTGCTTTGGAACTGGGCATGTGGTACAGAGGCAGCTCAGAATTTTCTACAGGGGACTGACATCCTTGGCAGAGATTCTCATCGAGGACTTAGAGGTTGCCACATGGATAAATGACAGGTCTGCAGAGCGCCGTGAGAACATAGTACAGGCAGCAGTGTATAAACAGAAGGAATTGAGGGAAGCCACCAAAATTGCAAGAGTAGGCACAGACTCCACCCTTCCTCAGGCAGAGTTTAAAGCTTGTCAACCTTACTCATAGAGAAGAACCCTCCACCTCCTTGTCCTTCGGGAAGTCTAGCCAATGCTACAAAACACTGAAGATTGGCCAGGCAGTGGTGGCACATACCTTTAAACCCCCCCCCCTACTTGGGAGGCAGAGGCAGGCAGATCTCTGTGAGTTTGAGGCCATCCTGGTCTATAGAGCGAGTTCCAGGATAGCCAGGGCTACGCAGAGAAACCATGTCTTGAAAAACCGAAAACCAAACAAACAAGCAAAGCCCACTCAAGATTTCCTACACAATGCTCTCCACTGTGCCTTGAATTTGTCGGGTGATATGTGCCATATGTCATAAAGCTACATCATGGCACTAGATGTGGCAGGCTCCTGCTTAAACAGCAGTCCTTGACCTTGACACAAGAACACTAAGGTACTCCTGATGCAATTCACCATCCTTAACTGGGCCATAGGTGGGGACTCAGCAGTAGGCAGCTGAGCTATGCATTCCTTGCCAGTGAACAGGAATGCGAACACAGGGAAATCTGCCATCTGGAGATGCCGGAAGTATTCTAAGGGAACCCTGTTAACACTGCAACCCACGTCTGGCTCTAAGTCCCAATGTGCTGAGTCATTCTCCAGATTAAGTCAAAGCTCAGTGATGTGACAGACCTCAGCCAAAGAAAACGAGGCTTTCCAGAACCTTCTGGTGGTCAGTAGATAGAGCCAAGCCAGACTACATGCCAGTTGTTGCCTCAGAAGTGCTAAATCCCCATTGCCAACAGCTCTCACCTTTCCAAAGGCCCAGGTTCGAGACTATGCTCCCTGAGCTCAGCCCCAATGCAGGAGGGTTTATGTTTGCTGTGATGCCAGGCGTAGTATGGCCAGGCATGAGCCTAACAAGTGTGCCAGCCACCATGCCGGGAGAAGCACAGCATCTGAGTTCTCTCACCATAGGTCTGCCTCTGCTGACAAATCGAAATATCATCAGCTTCACCAATGGGACCGGTTTCTTCCTGGGTCTGCCAGGAGAATACAGCCAGTCCAAGGCATTGCCAGGCTGGATGTCTTCTGAGGCTTCTCTGTTCTGACGTCTTTCCAGCCACCTTCTTATTGTCCTTATGTAACCCCTTTCTGCGCCTGCTACATCCCCTGGGTCTCTTTTCTCCTTATAAAGGCATCAGTCTGGTTGAATTATAGCATTCCCATATGGTCTTTTGTGACCTTAATTGTCCCCTTCGAGACCACACCTCCAAGCAGGGGGAATAGCATTGGGGCTTATGCATAAGCATTAGGGAACAGAACGGGATCTGGGATGTGGTTGAGTTGGTGGAGTGTCTGCCTAGCATTCACAAGGCTCTGGGTTCTGTTTGTCCAGCTACAGTGAAGCTTCATTTCTTCTATCAATGGGAGAACAGGAGCACAGTGAGAGGCTCTGTGAGTGGTCCATGCTACCTAGTACCTGTGAGTGAGTGAACAGACCTAGCAGGATCCAGAAGCTACACACGTAACCCATGTCACCTCTTAAAAGGCACTTATATTACCAGAAGAATGGTGTTCAGGATGGGGTCCAGACACTCGGCGAGACCTCATTGAGCTCATGTTGGCGTAATTTGACACACAGGGGTACTCTTAAGAATGATCTGAATCCAAAAGGGGCAAGATAGGACTACCTGGCTTGGAGCTAGTGGTAATATGGAGACAGCCTCCCATCCATCCTCATGACCACATTTTTTTCCCTACCCACAGCTGCGTCTGAATGGAGGCCGAAATCCCTATGAGGGCCGAGTGGAGGTACTAACAGAGAGAAATGGGTCCCTTGTGTGGGGGACTGTATGCGGCCAGAATTGGGGCATTGTGGAGGCCATGGTGGTCTGCCGGCAGCTAGGCCTGGGCTTTGCCAGCAACGCCTTCCAGGTAAGTGGCCCTAGCCTCTTAGCCTGGTCCACCCTCCATCCAGCCTGAGCTTTCCCATCACCAATCAGTTCTTCTTGTCAAGTAACTTTCCCCAGCCACTAAGAAGGGACACAGCCAAGCAAACCCCGAACCAAGTCAAGAGACCTCATTCTATCATAGCTCCTTCCCTGACAGCCCTGAGCCCGGGAGCAAGTCTCTCCTATCCCAGTCTCAATATCCAGTTACAGAATAAGGGGCCCCAGGTGTGTCCAGCCATTTGACATTGTGACATAATGCTGTCATCTACAAAGTTCACACTGTGCCTTCCAGTTGTGAAAATGTTAGAGAGAAAACTCATAGTGTTTTAAGTAAGTTTTTGATTTATGTTAAACAGCGTCTGTAGTTATGGTGGGCCTGTTGAGACCTCCTGTGACCCACTGGTTGCAGGCTGGACACGCCTGAGTCACTCACTGCTGTCTGTGAACCACTGCAGTCTGCAAGCTGAGCCTGAAGTGTCCTGTGTGCTGTGTTTGTAGAGGGACGTAATTCAGTCCTTGAGGAGAGTGGGGAGTACCCAGTGCCAGGATCAGCGCTCCGAATGCCTTAGTTGTTTCCTTGAAGCCCGCTGTGGCTGGACCCTTTCCTCCTTGATGTTTATGCCTCATTGTCACGTTGGCTGCACCTTCCTGCTAGGGCCATTCTCTAATGACCTAATGTCTCAAAAGAGCCAATAAGAGCGCTCTGGTCTTCATTTCTGCTTCCCAGCCCCTGTCATAGGGAACACAGGAGTTGAGGCCCCAGGCATTCCCAAGTCAATTCTTGCATGATAGTCTGGGGAAAGTACCCACACCTGTGTGCACCAGTTGTCCCAAGTGTAACATGGAGTGAAAGATACATAGTCCTCAGTGGCCCAGCATGAGCATGTTCATGAAACAGGACAAGACTTGGGGGTTCATCTTGTCTGCTGACCTGACTCTATCTCCTGGTCCCAGGTAACCTTTCCTGGAGCCTGAGGAAGGAGCTTAGCATCCCCATTTGTCCTCCATGGACTGACACGGGCTGAGTCCTGAGCAAGGGATGCCTGTGTTCTCTGTCTGCATCTCATCTTTCTAGTATCCGGAAGATATATGGCTCACACCATTTGGGAGCTTAGCTTCCCAGGGCAAGCAGGACACACACAACACTGATTCTCCAAATAACATTTGCTGGCTAACTGGTTTTCTTCTCTGGCTGCTCATTCCCAAGACACTTGGGCCTCAGCTTGGGGTTCCAAACAGCCACCAAAGATAAGCCTTTGCTTAGGGCCCTAGTTTTTCCTGTGGAGAATTAGAAGGATTTTGTTCAGATTCTTTGTAAAACAGAACCAGTAGGATGTAGATACAGTCATCCCTCAGTATCTCTGGAGGACCCCCTCGGGTACCAATCTCCATGATGCTGCAGTCCTCCTATGAAATGGTATAGTGTTCCTTTAGAATCTACACATGTCCTCCCCTGAGCTTTCTTATCTTTGGATGGCTTGTCATCTCTAATATAGTGTAAATCTTACGCTTATGGTTGTGGTAGTCTTCTTCTTGGGGAATAGCAACAACAACAACATAGTCAGTTTTTAAAATATATTTTCTTTAAATTTTCAGTTCAAGGCTGTGAATCCCTGGCTGTAGAACTCAAGGAGAGAGAGCCACCTCCCTATATCTAGTCTGTCTGAAGCTGTCTATCTACCCATCAATCAGTAGACAGAGATTGATTTTACACAATCAGCGCCCATGATTTGGGAAGCTGACAAATCTAAACTGTACAGGGCCATGGACCCAAAGAATGACTCAGATTGTCGCTTAAGTTCAAAGGCATTCTGCAGGTAGGAGCCCTGTTCACAAAGGGACCTCAAGCTTTTTTCCTTGTAAGGTTTTCAACTGACTAAATAAGGCCCAATCCCATGGTGCAGTACAATTTGTCTTATTCAAATCAACTGAGTTTAACATTAGTCTTAACTAAAAACTACTTCACAAAAACATCTAGAATAGTGTTTAAACAACTATCTGGGTATTGTCCCTGAGACAAGTTGACCCATAAATAAACTTCAGGAACATAGGATCTTATGTTCTCTTGCAAGCTCTTTACCTGCCCCCCACCTCACTCCCATTTTCTCTACTGGAAAGTTCTTGAACTATAAGAGTACATGCTAACAGTGTTTTGAAGTTCTGTAGCTAGAAGGAGCTTAATCTCAGCATCATAAACAAAGGGACTATTTGGACAGCATCCTATAAAATGCTTTTCCTAGAATTAAATCCAGAAGTTGAATTTTGTGAGACAGTTAATTATTGGCATATGTGAATAGATTTCTCTTCTCCTGCAAACCCAGGGTTAGTCATAGATCCTCACTCATTCTGTCACCAGCTAACAATATGACGGGGATAAATGGCTGTCTGTGCCTCATCTGTCTCCATCTGGAAAATGGGATCATAAAACCTTGAGCATTTTGTGAAATCAGAAGTAGACAAGGTGACATACTAATGATGTCTTTGGTTTTCCAGGAGACCTGGTACTGGCATGGAAATGTCTTCGCCAACAAAGTGGTCATGAGTGGAGTGAAATGCTCGGGGACAGAGCTGTCGTTAGCACACTGCAACCATGATGAGGAAGTGACCTGCCCTGAGGGTGGGGTACGGTTTGGTGCTGGAGTAGCCTGCTCAGAAAGTAAGACATTCTAAGGGTTGTTTCTCACTTTTCCCACATGACCCAGGTTCTAGAGGAGCTCAGCGGACAATCAGTTATTCTTCCCAGACTCCGGAGTTTCACAGAGTGTGCTCAGGAGAGGGAAGCACAGTGGATTCTAGGTCAAAAGGGACAAACAACATCTATTCCACAACCAGAACCACAACCAGAACCAGAACCTGGCTGATAACATGGTAAAGAGGAAACAGGGAAGGGTTAGTTTAAGGAATGTGTATCAGTAACTTTTCTCATTTTTAGTACTGTCTCTTTTTGTTTTGTTTTGTTTTGTTTTTTGAGACAGGCTTTCCCTGTATAACTTTGGAGCCTGTCCTGGAACTAGCTCTTGTAGACTAGTCTCAAACTCACAGAGATCCACCTGCCTCCCAAGGTCTGGGTTTAAAGGTGTGCTCCACCAATGCCCAGCTTTTAGTATTGTCTTAGTTAGGGTTTCTATTGCTGTGAACAGACACCATGACCACAGCAACTCTTATAAAGGAAGGCATTTAATTGGGGCTGGCTTACAGTTTCAGAGGTTCAGTCCATTATCATCATGGTGTAACATGGCAGCATGCAGGCAGACATGGTGCTGGAGAAGGCGCTGAGAATTTTACATCTTGGTATGTAGGCAACAGGAAATGAACTGAGATATTGGGTGTGGCTTGAGACTTCAAAGCCCACCTCCGCAGTGACACAGTTCCTCCAACAAGGCCACACCTACTCCAACAAAGTCATACCTCTTAATAGTGCCACTCCCATTGAGCTTATGGGGGCCAATTATATTCATACTACCACAAGTATCAAATGCTTGATGAAAGCAACTTAAAATAGGAACAGTTTATCTTGGCAAATAGTTTGAAAATATAGTCAATCAGGAGAGGGGAGGAAGAGGCACGCTGGTCACATTATATCCACGTTGGAAACAGAAAGATGGATGGTAGAGTTCTCTTTTCCATGTAGTTCAGGACTCTAGCCCTTGGAATGGTGTCACCCATTTTCAGGGTAGGTCTTCCCACCTATGGTGGTTCAAATAAGAATGGCCCCCATAGGCTCATATATTTGAATACTTGGTTCCTAGGCAGTGGACTTGCACTGCTCTACACATTCAATCCATCTTCATCTTTACCTTTCAGCACTTCCTCAGCTACATTTCCTTCCTCCCCGCCATTACTGCATGTGTTTACTTGTCCACCTCCCTTCCATACTCTATGTAGTATGCACTCTCATGTTGGGGGGGGCACATGGCTCCCCCCCAAGCCAGGCTAATGCTGTCTCCACTTCCACTCTCCTGTTCAGTCTCCAATAGTCTTGAACCCAAGACATCCATAACAGTTACTAGAATATCTGGGAGTTCCATGGCTGCCTAGTTTACTTCTTGGCTACCAAGCCAAGTGTAAAACTATGTGTAGTTAACCTATCTCGAGTTCAAGGGAAGCTAACCTCCTCTTAGGAGGAGAAGTCCTTATGGACACCTCTCTGCTTCGTTCAGCTCAGAGTAGCTAGGGAACCAAGTCCTCGGTGCTAACCAGGGAATCAACATCTCAGAAGACTCACACCACACTGTCAAGAAAGTTTGGGCACTGGGCATTGTCACACAGGGAAGTATTTGCCAGCTGATCAGGTCTCCTGATGGAGACCCCTCTCTGCCCACATCCCACCATGCCTTCCTTACTTATCTCCCATTCCACACCTTATTCAGTTGAGTGGATTTGCTCAACAGAGGCTACCAGCTCCAGTAAACACCAGTGAGCTTGGTGTTCACAGAGACTCAGAGATGGGACAAGGTCACCTGCAGAGTTCTCAAGTTGCCAGTGGACACTATGCTAGGATTTCTCTGCAGAGTCAAGCAAGGCAGACATGAAACCACTGAATATTTTAGTGAGAGACAGATGTTAGCCCAGTTCACTGCCTGAAACAAAAACTTTCAGAATAAGTATGGGGCTAGTTGGGAACAAACTGGAAATGTTCCCATGTGCATGGTCAAGAATGATTTCCTTGGGGAAGCAAAGTTCCAGACCATACTCTCTTGAGACATTTCCCTGTGCTCTAGTTTCATTTCTGTGGCTGGGAAGAAATATCCTGATGATAGGAACAGGAGAAAAGTGTTCATTTCGTTCATGATTCTAGTTTATACTCTAATATTGCAGGGAAGTCAAGGCAGAAACAAAGTGTCACATCAATTTCAAGAGCAGAGAGTGACAGATGTACCCATGCTGCCTGCTTTCGTGCTGTCTGTCAACCCTTTCTACTTTCATACACCCCTACCCAGGGAGTGGTACCACCCACAATGGGCTGGACCAATCAGCAATAAGATAGTCCCTAACAGACATGCTCACTGGACAATCTGATCCAGGGAATCCCTCAGCTGAGACTCCCTTTGGAAGTGATTCAAGGTTCTGTCAAGCTAATGATTAAAACTCACCAGAACAACTTGCAACAGTTAGGAAATGAGATTTCTGCACCTGTTGGAAGTCAGTCCTAGAGGACCAGTATTGTTAAACTTTTCCACTCAAGATGCCTGAGACGTTTTTACATGACTTTAACTATATAGGTGTATAACTATATAGGTGTATAAAATAAGCACACAAGTCAAACATTTGCTGATAACAAGTCACACATTTACAGAAGTTCTTTTGTGTGCATATAATTTATTAAGGATGAAATCAAATATGCATAGCTAGGATTTCTGTTACTATGACCAAAAGCAACTTGGGGATGAAAGGGTTTATTTCAATTAAAAGTATAAAAATCCATCACTGAGGGAAGGAAGTCGGGCCAGAAACAGAGCAGGGGCCTGGAGGCAGGAACTGAAGCAGAGGCCATGGAGGAGTGCTGCTTACTGACTTGCTCCCCATGGCTTGCTCACCCTGCTTCCTTATAGAACCCAGTACTACCAGCACCACTCACAATGACCTGGGCTCTCCCACATCAATTACTAATTACCACAGGCTTGCTCACAGGTCAATTTGGTTGGGGCATTTTCTCAATAGAGGTTCTCATTTTCAAATGACTCTAGCTTTGTCAAGTTAATATAAAAATTAGGCAAGTAAGATGGGTATAATTTTAATTTTTGCATAAAGAAATCTTGATGAATAAGAGTTGATCAGTACTTTGATATAATTATTAATGCCAAGAACACCATTTGCATAAACATGCAATGCAAAACAACGGAAATATGTTTAGGGCCATTTCAGAGATGATTGCAAACCTGTTCTAATCCCAAAACAAAATTCTTTTAACATTTTTTAAATGAAATTTGAGTCGGTCTCTCAAGCAGCACTTTTGAAATGGGATAGTCTAACTCAATACAACTAAAGGTACACCAAAGTGACATTTATTTGCAAAGGAATGATGGGAGAGAAATATTAGAAGTCTTTGTTTCCTGTAATTAAACCATGTTTCTCCAAGAATGGAAACTTTTATTACAGTAAAAGCACTGTAAATATGGAAATCTTGAATATGAGCAGATGTTTTGGGCAGTGTTCATTGGTGCTGCCTATGTAACATGTACAATGCAAAACGTATGTGCTGTGTGTTCAGAACTGAGGCGGAGGTGAAGTCATGCAATGCAACATGGGCAGGCGCTGCTAGAAATACCTCAGCCACATTATGCATTTGATTTTCAAATTAATTTCCAGCCATTGTGTATTCAGAAACCTCTTACCATTCCCAAAATTTTCAAGACCCCCCCCCACATTCACTTACACAGCTTCATGTAGGGGTCTCAGCCCATGGTTTATGAAGTTAGGCCTAGGACATTGTTGTGAACCAGTCTCTGAAATGTATGCTTTAAGCAGTGTTTCACAGGAGCCCTGCAGTTCACATCTGTGGAAAGAGGCCTCCCTCCCCCACCCCCTACAACATGACAGTGGAACACGGGGTTGAAAGGAAACAGGAAAAAGCATGTGTGAAGGCAGTTTGGCAATATGCATCCAAGTTTTAAAATCGCACCACTTTTCCCCCTGGAAATTTCTCTGCTAAAGATATATGCTAAAGGACACACACACACACAATATGTAGGTGCAGGTTGACTATAGCATGTTGATCACAGACTTGCCTTTAATTGACAAATTCAAGTCAGCCAAGGTATTGCCTCCCTAAAAGATAGCAGCAGGTGGTGAATTAAATATTACAGAACCATAAAATGAATGCTGCAGTGTTTGGACATCAATAAGTCCAGATGCAGTTTGAGGGGAATGGCATTAGTAGGCCAAGAATCCACATGGCATGCTGGGAAAGAGTCACACCAAGGGGCAGTGGTGTCACCATTACAGTTCTGATTTTTATTATGGGAAGTCTGAGAATATAGAAAGTAGGGAGAATGATCTAAGGAGCCCTTGGTCTATCACCTGACTATGTCAGCAGTTTGCCCATCCATACTGATAACTGAGGGGGGCGTCCAGAGACTTCTGAAAAAGAGAAAGTATAACTGGGGGTGACACAAAGGTGACAGGGAGGAGTTTCCTATCTGTGACGCATGTCTGCCTTCCCCAGCTGCACCGGACCTGGTACTTAATGCGGAGATTGTGCAGCAGACTGCCTACCTGGAGGACAGGCCCATGTTCTTGCTGCAATGCGCCATGGAGGAGAACTGCCTCTCAGCCTCCGCTGTCCACACCAACCCCACCACAGGCTACCGTCGCCTTCTGCGCTTCTCCTCCCAGATCCACAACAATGGCCAGTCCGACTTCCGCCCCAAGAATGGCCGCCATGCATGGATCTGGCATGACTGCCACAGGTAGGCCATGGCTTCATTGGTCGGTCAGTTACCCAGCTTGGTGTCCTTCAGTACCCAGACCAGGGATCTCGAATGCCAGAGTCACCACAAGAACGCCAGCAATCCAAGATGTAGGCAGAAGAGTAATTTGTGTCTCTGGAAGCTATTCTCTGCTCCCAGCCCACTGGCTGCCCCTCCTTGTGTGGAGTCCCTGCCTCTTGGCTCCAGTGCCTTTGACCTTAGGAGACACGCTGATCTGAGTGCCTGGGCCCTTCAGGGACGATCCTCAGCCAGCAATTTCCACGTGCATGCATGATACATTTGTACCCTACAGGGATCTTTCAGGTCTGCAGCCTTGAATCCTCAGGCCATTTTGAAATATATTTTGCATACCAGTATGAGGTTTTTGTGAATTAAATTTTAAAGTTAGTCTACAAAAAAAAAAAAAAAATGTCATGGCATTTGCATACACATGGATGTACTTTGATTTCCCACTGCCATTTCAAATCTCCCTCGGTCATCTCCTTATTTTTAATCTCTCTAGGAAGACAAGGGTATGCAGATAGGTGCTCAGGACTGAGTCATGAGAACTGGTCTAAGTCTGCTAAGCTAGCCCTGACCAGCCAGCCCCCTGACATTAGGCCAACTGGGCCACATTGCTGGGACTTCTGGGCTCCCTTCCAGCTCGTGTGTGGCTGTGACCCAGGTGCTGCAAAGACAGAGACAGGACAGAAGAGCAGCAGGGAATCCTACAGCCAGCCCACCAGGGCCTATGGAAGCCACCAGGACCCTCCCTTCCTGTTTTCCTTTGCTCTTCTTGACTTGTAACCCAACCCAGACTCCACTGTCTCTGCTTAGTCACATTTTGTCTGAGCAGGTAGAGGACACTACAGGCACACTGTTGGAAAAGCACTGCTATTCCTACTACCGGGAATCCTTCTTCTAGGGATCCATGAACTCCTAGTAGATCTGTTCTCTGGGCTCAAATATTCCATCATCTGTGACAGGAAAAGTTTGTACTAGATCCCTGCCTTTCAAAGTGAGGCCCCTCTACCAGTACAGCAAGATCTGGGCATGCTGAATGCCAGAGCTGGCTGCAGACCAATGAACCCATCTGTATGGACCTCCACAGGTCTGGGTGTACATCAGAGCCTGGGAAGTTCCTCCTAGGCATCTATCCAGCCCTAATACTACAATCACATCAGACACAGATGCACTCCCATTTGGCCATTCCAACTAACAGGTCATTACATTTCATATAGCAGCCCAAGATAACATAAGGAGTTATAGTTCAGGGCTCTCAGCCAGGCCCACCAGATCTAAAATGTGCTGCTCCCTATTAGCTCTTCCAGATTCTCATCAGAGACCTCCCTATGTTTTGTTTCTTTTTCTTGTCACAAATCATGACCCGCTCACATTTAAATCAGTTTGAGGTTAGAGTTGTGCAATGTATTCCAAAAGAAAATACTATGATCCCAGTTAAGCTTCTGATTTTCCTTTGAAACAACTAGCTGAATGTTGTAAATACCCTAAAGCCCGAGGAATCACTTAGTCTTTGCCAGGGTATAAATTGGAGTAGAATTAAAGTCTTGACAGTCTCGGTGTCTGGTTTCCCTTAGAGACCATGTGGTGGGAAGCCAGGACAGCAGGGGCTGATGCTGCTGTCTATGGGTCTATAAGTGGAAGGCAATTGCATCCCAGCCATGCATATGGTGGCTCACCCAAAATTACATGGTAGGCACCTCCAAGTGCCATATGCTTACCCTCAGAGCCATCAGCCTCCACTCTGAGGATAGTTATACGGTGACATCATGCAGTGTTGTGACCTGAAGTCCCAGGGACTGTGACCCTCCCTCTCCACTTTTCCTGTGGTCTCTTCTCTCCTTCATCTACAAAGGTTCCCATCAGTGGTTTGGGAGGGGAGGGTGGGGAAGAACATGGACAAAGCATGTGACCCTTTTCAGGCACCTCTGCTTTCCCGTCAGTTGGACATGGAGGTTATACCCTCAATGTCGTTCTCACACTTGCATTGTAAACTTTAGTCAGTGACCTTGGTATAGTCTCTGTCCTGTCCTTGTGCCCAGGGACTGGCTCCTTATCTTCTTAACTAACATAGCATGCTGCAGTTTTGATAAGGGGTGAACAGTGTAAGCACAGGTATATAACAGGTATATGACTACAAGATCCAAGGAACTTCACGAGACCCTCACACACACACTCAGTCTCCAGAGCTCCAGGTGACATTCTCCAAGGTCACTGGTTTTGTTTTACTGCATTTTCTGAGACAGTGCTGACCCTGGATTCTATCTAGCCAGAGCTGTCCTTGAACTCCTAATCCTTCTGTCCCCAATTCCAAAGTGCTGGGATTCCCATATGAGATGAGATAGTGCCTGGTACTCTTCAAGCTCATTGGGAAGGCCTTCCGGGGAATCTGCAGTTATCTCTGTTGGGTCCCTTGCAGAGGCTCCTGAGAGCTGGCCTGGCCCTTCTTCAACTCAAGAAACTTGTTTCTGAAAGAACTGACATTCCATTTAAGCAGGTTTACAGACATTCTGAAGCCATGAATGGAGCTAAACAGGAGAGAGAGCCCTGGCTTAGATTAAAGTGAATGGGGAAATGGCCATTTCCATGTTTAGTAATGCTACAATGAGGAGCAGAACTATGCTCTTGAAGACACGAGCTGAAACACAAAGCTTAGCCCTCTTACATGCACTTATGGTGCCCTTGGTTGACCTCAGTATCCTCGATGCAGTCAGCTATATCCTTGGGGTTCCTGTCACTTCCTGGGGAATCCCAGGATAGGGTGAGGTGCAGTAGAGGGAGCTGGAGGAGTGGGAGAATGGACCCCAGCACAGGCTTTAACCCCTAGATTCAGAATAACACAGATGCAGAAAGGTGAGTGTCAGTCTAGCCTGCCTGCCTCTGCCATGTGCCTAGTAACACCCAAAGGGTCATAAACCACAGATGTAATGAGGCCTCTGAACCAGTTAGAGGCCCCTCATCTCACCATTCTGTAGGCACGACACCTGTGGATGGCAAGTTAGATTCCACAGGAGGACCTTTGTCTTCTATGGTGGTCCTTGACAGGCTGGGAAAACACCCAAATGCATCTTCCTCAATATATGATAGTACATCAAGACATGTACAGTTTTCTATGAACACACTATGTCTGTCTTCCATCTACACTTTTATGCAGCATGACACATCCCTAGAGGAGAGCCCTGGAATCCTATAGTAAAGGCCAACTTTCAATTTATCTATATTACAAGGACTTCAAAAGCTTATGGTAACCTGAGCCTGCAATGCCAGTATTCAGTCAGCAGGAAAATGAATTTGGGGCCACATAATGAATCCACTACCAACCTGAACAAGTCTGTCCCTGTCTCAAGAAAAACAAGGGCTGGTGGTGTAGCTTGGTGGTAGAGCACCTAGTATTCCTAGCAACACAGGAAGGAAAACCAAACAAACAAACACAAGAATTCTATGAAGCGCCAGGCCATGCTCCACTTTTTTAGTATTCTGGGATTTCTTCTCAAGTCTGCAGTTGCCAGTGCACACCCCAGGGTTCAGTTTACCCTCAGACTCTGAGCTACTAAGAGGGCCACTGTGTTGCCCAAGGCTTTCCCTCTTGCCTTCCCAGCACCCATCAGTGTCTCCTGGGTGGAGGCCTGTGGGAGGCAATGTGGCTTCCATTTCAACCTCAGACCAGTTAGTAGAAGCCTGTGGCCTCCAACGGTATCTAAGAGATAAAGCAGACACAATCCAGGACAGAGGTCCACAAGAAGCAGGGGGCCAAGAAGCCTAAGGCCTCTTCCCAGTACTCATTCCCAGAAAGAAAACTGAACCTAAAAAAGACTAAAATCCAGACTTCAGGAGGCCACTTCACAACAGCCCGTCTGTGGCTCCATCTGAATTCTGTTTAGACAGCGGAACATAAACGTACTCCCCTGCAATCTTTCCAGCCGGTCGGCAAGTCACATAAGCCCCTCTCTGAGGGAGCAGACATTTTTCATTCCGTGAGTCAGACCTCATGTCTCATCCATTCCCTGTAGGGAGCCAAAATAGACTGCCTCAGAGTCATCACCTCGTCTGCTACAAAATGTTCCTTGTAAGGGCTGTCCGCTGGCCCTGGCCCAGAACCATTTTACCCAGAAACATGAATGACCTGGGGAAGCCCAACTTAGCAACTTCTGACATTATTTATATAGCATGAACAAACTCAGGAGGAAGAAAAGAGCCTCTAATTTCCTCTCTGAAAACCCTTTCCATTGCCCTCTTCTCTTCTGCACACATGGTGGAGGAAACTCCGGGCTGCTACACCAATAGTCAGGCTGGGTGACTGGACCACAGGAGCCTTGCATGCTGCAGCTGTGACTGCAGATGGGTGGAGTCACAATAAGGACACTGGCCAATACTGAGAACATCCTTTGTTACAGCCTCATCTGGGCTCTTTTCTGTCTCTGTCCTTTCATTTAGTTTTTTTGGGACAGGTTCCCCTATACTGAGGATGACCGTGAACTTCCGACCGTGAACCCTTTCCTCCACCTCCTCGATGCTGGGTTCACAGCCCACCATGCCCAGTTTATATGGTACTGGGGATCAAACCAGAGACATCCTCAATGCTAGGCAAGCATTCTAACAACTGAGCTGCATCCCAAGCTCTATGTCATTTATCTTATTTAGTCCTCAGATCACCCCAGAAGTTGGCAATAATATTCTTGCTTTACCAAAGAGGAAACGGGCTAGGCATAAACAAAGCCAGAGCCTCCTGCCCCCATGATGCTATGAGCGGCTTCCTTTACTAAATATCCCCGCAATAGTGGAGATGAGAATGTTAGAAGAGTTGCAGGTAAGACACACACATGGCAGGTGGAGATGAGACTAAAGCCAGCCTGATAATTTTTTTGCCCTAGGCCTGTATAATGGAGGATTCTGGAAACCCCTCAGCTACCCTCAGTAGCTGCTTCCCTGGTTATTCCTGAACCAGATGTGTCACTCTTCAGGACATCTGTCCTCAATTTTTCCCAAGTGACGGCATGGACTGTCGTAAACCATCAGCCAAGGGAACTGCACCCAGCTTGTACGCGCCTTGTATACTCGCTGCCTCAGCTAGCTCCCTTCTAGAACCCTGGAGATGTGCTATCCTGAGCTGCTGCCATGTCCCTCCCCGAGAACCACCCACTCTCCATCCCAGAAACCTTCTAGTCCTTATCCTTCCCCTTCCTGTTTGATTTGCTCATTCTTAGCGGCAAGCCCATGCTGCTCTCTTTCCAGGGCTCTCAGACCAAGCCCAGGCCTCCTCTCCCACACCAGAGTGCATACACACCACTAGGGTACATGTGTGCCCTTCTCTGTGCACTTGCTCTACTTAGTGACTCTTGTTTCCCTGTGATTGCTACCCCATGTCCTTTATCTTCTTCCTTCTTTCTACATTCCTACCCCCCCCCAAAAAAAAACCAGCTGAAGAAACTGAGTTAGAAAGATTTGTTTAGCTCACGGGTTGAAGGTTCAAAGCAATGGGGTCCAAGGGCAGCGGATGATGGCACATCTGTGTGGGGGCGTGCATAGGGGCAAACACACCTGAAGCCGGGCAGCAGAGAAAGAAAGGGACTATGGTTCTGACCCCTAAGACTCTCATAGGCTGCACCTCCAAATAGTCCTTAGTGTCCCAATAGCATCCCCACGGGAAAGAAGCTTTTAGTACATGGGCATTTGTTAGACCTATAGCAAAGCTGGAGAAAGATTCCATATGGCAGTGGGCTGAGAGCTACTCAGGAAGGTCCCTGTGTATTAAGATGCTTATTGTATTAGGCCATGAAATGCCAGATAACTGTTCAGGACTCAATGATACCCACAACATTCCACGAATTAAGTTATGTCATTCCCACTCCTGCTGAGGGGATCAAGGAGGAGCAAAATGTCTGGCACCCTGCCCAGAAGTTACTGTCTTTGCTTTGGCCCTCCATTTCCCTCCTTGCCACCCTTGGCCCCTGATGCCTCCGGGTTCTCCCAGAGGCAAATCACCAGCTTGGAAGCTGCTTTCAGGCAACTGTGGTTGCAGACACTGACATTGGACCCTGTTTCTGGCTCCCAGGCACTACCACAGCATGGAAGTATTCACTTACTACGACCTGCTGAGCCTCAACGGCACCAAGGTGGCTGAGGGCCACAAGGCCAGCTTCTGCTTGGAGGACACAGAGTGTGAGGGAGGTATGTTGGAAGGGGAAGGTCGGGGCTTCACAAAACTTTGAACACTCTCACTGGATTGAACACAGTCCGTCTGGATGGAGGCTAGGCCACGCACTTCTCCATGTTATTCAGGCCACGCTGGGTATCCATGAGGCCTTTACTTGCCAACTCCTGGGGCCTTCGATGGCTACACAATGGGGCTGGGGAAAGTGGCTGTAAAGTCCTCTGTCCCCAGAGTTGTTGTAACTGGAGGGGAGAGGTCTACATGGCTTCCAGGTGAGGCCTGGTCACTTGAGCTGGCCTCACAGCCTCTGCCTCTCTGCTTGCCACAGACCATTCTTCCTGGCATCCCAATACCATGTTCTTCTCCCCTGTCAGGCTGTAGATCTCTATGATGTTCCCAATTCCCCTCCATGACCCTCATGCACAAATCATTCTGCTTCTACCTCGGGTAGGTCTTCACACCTTACTGCGATTGCCCGATAGTACACCTGCCACTCTGACACACCAAGGACCTTCGCAGGACAGATATCTGCCCTCTACAATTTGCCCACATGAGGTTCTAGATGCTGGCATGGCCCACTGCTGACATCATGAAATCACATAGGAAGGAAGATTTGAACACCTATGGTGTGCACACCACCTGGGAGGGATCAAGAAGACAGATTAGATATGAGCCCGAAGTCCTGCTGCTGATGGTGTAGGGAAAAAGAGACGATCTCGTGTTAAGCTAAACAGTAAGCACGACAGATGTCTCAGATCACCATGACACTCATCTCTGCCCCAGGCTGAGGATTTCACAGGAATGCTAGCATAGTCCAGATTGGTCAGGGAGCACTTTGTGGAAGAGAGGATCTTCAGCCGAGCTAGGAGGGAATGCAGCATGTAGGTAGGGAGTTGAGTGTGCGTGAGGGTGGTTCTGCTGAAATGAGAAGGTATCAGAAACCCACATGGGAGGGGTGGGATTAAACAGGGCCGGGAGGCTTGGGGACTAACTAGAAGAGGTGAGGTGGGGACTGTAGATGCTCTTTTCTGCTTGCCCACAGACATTCAGAAGAGTTACGAGTGTGCCAACTTTGGAGAACAAGGCATCACCATGGGCTGCTGGGACATGTATCGTCATGACATTGACTGCCAATGGATAGACATCACCGATGTGCCCCCTGGAGACTACCTGTTCCAGGTGAGGTGGGCAGACCCAGGGCTGCTGGGAGGAAGAGAAGGAACTTCATCAGCCTCCTTCCTGTGGGTGTCCGGAAACAAGATTCATGAGGCCAGGCAGGGTGCCATCCTATGTGTCAAGCATTATACATAAAGCAGGTAGGCCTGAGAGATACTGGGTCTGCAGAGCGTGTTGGGAGCCCATACTGGAACCCAAGATGTAGAGACAGTCATATATAATTTACTTAACCTCAGAAGCTTGAAATCAAAATGTATCTGTGAGCTAATTTAGAGTTCCATGAACTCTGAGGCAACCTGCACCTCTGGCTCCCCTTCAGCCACCATCCTGATTTCCTCCACTCTTGGTGTGTTCTTTTGAGGCTGAAAACAACTGTGTCATCCTGCAAATGTCTGTGGTTCTCCTTCCTCAGGAGGATCTGCAAGAGGCATCTCCATGCACATAAGTGCATCTGTAAGGCTAGAGAGTCAAGCTAAGGACACCCTGGCCACGAGACTATTTTGTGAGGGCTCCCAGCTCCCCTGCCCCGAGGAAGAGCCAAGGAGCCCTGGCTTCCACCTTCCTGCAGACAGTTGTGGCATGCTCCAGCCGGGCCCATGTGGCAGTGGGGAAAAACACTGACTCCCAGTGTTCTCCTGGCATGTGGCTGCATTACTGCCTACAGAGGCTTCATTTCCCCATATCCCCGCGTTGTTTCCCAGCTTGCCCTGTTGGATGCAAAATGTGTGAGCAGAAATGGGTCATTCTGCCTTAAAAGCATTCCTAGTGGGGAATTCAGCCAGCCCATGGTCTAGCCCACAGTCCCTACTGCTGGACACTCCCTTGAAGAGCCAACACCTGCAGAGAAGTAACCACAGGGTGCTTTGAAAGGGTCCCTGGGCATCATCAGCTCTGAAAAGTAGACAGCCAAGCACTTTCTAGCCACAAGCCTCACCCAGAGCCACAGCAGGCCTGGTACCAGAGTGCTCTTATTTAAAGAATGGATTCCCATGACTATGGGCATGTGTGCAGTGCCTGGTGGCTCACGTTGGCAGCTTGCGGTCACTCAGCAGGCTGCATGAGTGTCATCGTATCTACTAAAGGTGACTGAAAGTCTCTGGTAGTCCAGGCTAACATGCATTGACCCATTGACTCTCCCAGTGAAGGGACCCTGTTAGTATCCAAATGCAGGCCACAAGTCTCTATGTGATGTTCTTGTCCCCTAAGAGGTACAATCAGCAGATGGGTAGACTTATAGATATGCCAGTGGTTCTAATGACACAGAGCTGTGAATGCCCTGGACTGTAAGTCAACAGGACACAAGAACTAGCCTCTGTGACAGACAATAGAGTTTACTGTGTGACAGACGATATGGATTGGAAGAGGACTTCTGAAGGGAGGAAGTGGCCAGAGGTGCACAGACTCAGAGGCAGGGATGGGTGGGCAGATGGGTTTCCAGGGCCCCTGTTTTGTCTCCTCTAGATATACAGACCTCAATACATTTCCCTCACATGCTCCTGATGTGATTATGGGGAGGACTGTGAAGATCACACAATTCACCCCAGTCCGGCTCCTACATGGGCCACTCCCACCCTGAGAACTTGACTTGAGCACTCATGTGTATGCTTCAGGGATGCTAAAATGGGCAGGGAGGTGCTTAGTGAGGGAGGTGCTATCCATCTCTATGTTGAGTGGGTGGGGCTGAAGGGACAACTAGGATTTAGGGAGAAATCAGAGAAAAATCAGGCCACCCCAGAGAGGGACATTTAGCAGTTTGTCTGAATGGACAGTGCCACATGGTTGTGGTTAGTAGGTTTGCATAGGCTGTGGTTAGCAGGCCAGACACAGGCTTTCCAGAGTGGCCCTTGCCAGGCCAGCATACAGCATCCAACCCAGATAGCCTGATTTTGCCACAGCCTCTCTTAGGGAAGACCCAGCCACAGTTAAGGACACGCAGCCTCTGCCCTGGAGTGGAGGACGGCCAGCAAGTGAGTTGTGGCACCCTCTGACTTGATGAATCCTTCCAGGTTGTCATTAACCCCAACTATGAGGTACCAGAGTCAGATTTCTCTAACAACATCATGAAGTGCAGGAGCCGCTACGATGGCTATCGCATCTGGATGTACAACTGTCATGTGGGTAAGTTCCCTTGGCAGCCCCACCCTCCTCAGGAGGCTAGGACACAGGACACAGCTGCCCTACTTTCTCTGGAGAAACCAGAGGCAGCTAATCTGAGAGAAGCTGGGAGTGGAGCCAGTATCAGATTCCTAGCTCGGAAAGCAAGCCAGAGAGGCATGAAGGCCTGGGTGGGGACCGGGTATTCACGGTCAGCCCTGGCCAAGGAGAGAGGGTGGTACAGAACCGGCTGGCCTAGCAAGAGCAGACCCCAGGTCTGTATAAGGGCTGGAGCTAAGACCATCAACCCAGTGCTCCTATAACCCCAGTTATGTAGGTAGGCATCAGTTCCTGAGCTCTGTGCATTGGGTTTTGCTGTGAAGCACTCTCCTGCCTCATCACCAATGTTCTCCTTGGGGAGCATGAAGGAAAGCAGATTTTGCCTCTCTTGGCATATGACAGGCCTCACTCCTGGTGGCACTGTGTCTGCTGAGTTCCTGGCCCTAGAGCTCACTGGTACCATCCTGGGGTGTGCTCAGTGGGGCCACAGTTGAGCATGTACCTAATTTTGTCTCCTTGACTCCTGCTTTCCAGGTGGGGCCTTCAGTGAGGAAACTGAGCAGAAGTTTGAACACTTCAGTGGACTTCTAAATAATCAGCTCTCTGTGCAATAAAGAAAATCCTGGGCCGGGCATGATGGCTCATGCCTATAATCCCTGCACTCAGACTGAGGCAGGAGGATTGCCCTGAGATTTCCACTCCAGACATTACACCAAGCTTCTGTCTCAAAAAACAAAACAAAACAACAACAACAACAACAAAAAACCCAAGAACAAGAGGAAAGAAAGACAAAAGATAGAAAGAAAATGACTTCATGGTCACCTACTGAGTTCAGGTGACTGTGTCCCCTGGGAGGAATACCAGTTGCATCTCTTGGCTAGCCAGATCCAGCTGAGAAGAAAGGAGCTCTTTCATTCACCAGGCACTCTACATGTACCTGTCTTGAGGCCTCAGAGGCAGGGGCATTGGCATATGGCTATGGGAACTGGATGGCAAGCTATGAGAGGCTCCCATCCAAGTTCTGGCATTTCCTAAGTGTGATATCACCAAGCTCACCACAGAAGGGCCATTTTCTTCTGGAGATGTGGCAGGTGTGAACTCAGCAACTGCAGAGGTGGTCAAGCCAGATTCCCCCTTCTTAGGTCATCTCTGGAAAACTTGAATATCAAGACCTCTATATTAAGTGGGTTTTTTTTTTTTTTCCTCATTGTACACAAAATCAACTTGAGGAAGGAAGGCTTTATTTGGCTCATGGTTTGAGGGCCCAGTGCCTCGTGGCAAAGAAGGCATTGCAGCAGGAGCATGCCATGTCTGGTTTCAAACTCACTGTCTAGCCGAGGATGACCTTGAGCTTCTGATCCTCCTGTCTCCACCTCCAGAGTGCTGGGGACGAAACCCAGGACTTCACACACATACGGCAATGTGCTCTTTAACAACTCGAGCTGCTGTCTCAGCACCCACTTTTCTCAGCTGCTGTAAACTTGTGCGTCTTCTTTTCCTTACCAAACTGCACAATTTCCTGTGTCGTTATGCTCCTGGGGAAATACCAGCTGCTCTTGTTTTTTTTTAAATTGTGGGCCTGAATAAGAGCAGTGAGCAGAACCATACCAGAGCCTGAACACGGTCCCATCTTAAAATGTCCTCTGCCAAACAAATTAGTCCATCACTCTTAATAATCACCCCAGTGCTCAGAACACAGGCAGGATGCAGCTGTATTCTTGCCAGGGCATAATAAGATTGGCCTCTAGCTCAGATCCAGATAGTCAGATAGTCGGATAGTCCTAGGGCCCCATTGAAGCCTCAGGTGCCAGGCCGCTAATGTCCACATTTCTCTTGGCATTCTGATCTTCCAAACTCCCACCAGAATAGCCAATTCAGCTGTTCTCAACACTCTAGGGCTTTTCGGGCCCAAAATTCCAAGCTTTTCCAGATTCCTCCCTCAAACCTTTTCTCAGAGCTCAAGAATTCCACAGCCATGCTTATCACATTGATGTGGCCACTCACAGCACTGATCTTCTCGTATTAGTTACTTTTCTGGTTACTATGACAATACTTGACAACAGCTGTTTAAGGGAAGGTTATAGTTCAAGAGTACAGTCCATCATAGTGGGAAAGGCATGGTGGCAGGTGCTGGAGGTAGCTGGTCACATTGTATCCACAGTCAGGAAGCCAATTGTGAATGTTGGTGCTTCATTTGCTTTCCCCTTTGTATTCTGCCTACAGCCAGACCAAGGAATGGTGCTACTAGTGTTAGGGTGGGCCGTCCCTCTTCCATTAAACCTCTTCTGGAAGCATCCTCATAGACCCATCCAGATGTGTGTTTTCGGGGTGTCTCTAAATCCCCTCGAGGTGACAATCAAGGTTACCTATCACAACCTCTTCCAGTTACACCAAGTTCTGTACCTATGCAATTATAGCCACAATTTAAAGTACAATAGCAAGCCATACATTCCAAGACTCCAAGAAGACTGAAGATTTGGATGGTTCTGAGACAGGATAGGAAGAGAAACTCGAGGGGAACATGGGAGGGGCCCTTCACCTCAGAGTCTGGTTGAAGCTCTTGCCAGCTGAGAATGCTGACACAGAGCACATTGTGAATGGTGCTAATATAGAGACAGTGTTTTTTATATAGAGATAATTCAAGTAAGGAATTAGGAAGTACAAATGCCCTTTCTCCTTTCCCAGCTGTAAACGTACAGTTTCCTAGAACTTCACCGGGAACCCCATTGACAGAAAAAAGCATTATCTCAAGACCCTTATGCTGTCCTCATGACCCATGGTTCCATCTTATCAGGGTTCAGTCCTGTCCAAGGCACCTCTGGAGCCGCCCTATAATCTGACAAGAAGGGGAAGAGGTTGGGAGCAGGACTTAGAAACCCATCAATAATACCAAAGGCTTCCCAACCCCTGTATGGCTAGTTACTAAGACACTGCTGTCCTTTGAGAAGCCCACACCCCAGCTCCCAGGTGTGCCTCACTTTCCCTGAGGGCCTCTTAGCCCCTCTAACTTAAATTTATATTTAAAATATTTTAAATAAACTTTAACTCTGCTTCATTCTGCCTCGCCGAAAATATCTTCTCTGTAGCAAAGTCAAGGACCCAAAGACCTCTAAGGGGTAAGGGGACTTTAGGTTGATGTCAATGGACACCTCCCGCTGCACTACTAATGGCAGGCCCAGATTGTGTTACCCTGTTTATTGCCGAAAGCACATACCCAGTAAGAGGAACTGGGGGAACAAGGATTTAAGTTTGGGGGCAAGAACAGTTTGAAGCTTTGGCAAAAGGAGCAGGGACTTGCTTGCTCAAATTTCAATGGACTGGGATAAGAGAATGCCAGCACTCACGTGACTTTATTCCCTCATTCAGTCTAGGACCCCAAGGCATGGGATGGTGCTACCCATGTTCAGGGTGGGTCTTCTCTCCTCAGTTGGACATGTTCTAACAGACATGCCCAGAAATGTGTCTCCCATGGGACTCTAGTTGATGACAAAGTTAGCCATCACACAAACCTAATATATAATACCGTTTTTGTCTATACCTATGTAACTGTTGTGCAAGCGTTTTGCTATTGTTACTAACATCCTAGAGAAACAATGTGCAAGGAGGAAAAAGTCTTCGTTTGGATTCATGGTTCAGTCCACTGTCAGCTGGTCTCATGTTACTGGGTTCACAAGACAGCGTCAGTCACAGCTTACTGATTTCAACTGTGCTATCGACTGGATCCTAGGTTATGCTCACCAACGGCACCCCACCACACCGCTACCACCACACACACACACTTGTAGGCTGGAGTGGAACATTCCTTATTTGTACCTAGGTTTCATTAGAACCACTGCCCCTAGGCCCAAAGCTTCCTACATCTAAGAGTGTCATACATATTTAGTTTCACTCTTTCAGGAACTGTCCCTGTGTCTTCCAAAGGTCCCTGTGATCTGGAGGGACACAGCAGTGTGTCAGAAACATGCAGGACAGCTAGTCACAGGGCAGTTTCCCAGGGAAGAGAGTGTACACTACCAGAGCAGGGCTCCAGCCCTCCCTCACTCAGGTCTCCTGTGTTAAGGGTGTGCTAGCCCCAGCAAACCTGAGATCAGCAATGACCCCCAAACCCCAGAGAGGGCCACTGTACCTCCAATACTACACCCAAGACTCAAGAGAGAGGAGTACTGTGCTGTCCTACAAGGGTGCCCCTGGGCCCATTTCTGAGGGGACATTTGGCATGCACCCAAGTCTCGCCACTCAGCTGTTAGAGCTTACTTCACTGCTACATCCCCCCCCCAGGTGCCCATAGCACAGGATGGCATGCTGGGGTTCTTGAAATGGGGGAGACTGGGCAGGTGGCATGGAGCAAGTACCAACTATTCCCCAAACAGGGCCGCTGAGCCCAAATGCCCCTGAAGATGGGGTCCTCTAGGAAAGGTGACCTGATCGTCAGTAACCACAGACCCACAGAAAGAGATGGAACAGCGCCCTCTAGTGTCCGTCCCTCAAGACCACACCTGGATGCCATCAGTACAACTTTAAATTTTTATTTCTTCTCAATTTCTGGGACCAGATCAACAAAATCCTGCTATGCCCCACAGCAGTTCTAGTGGGGACAAGAGGCTGTCCTTCGGTCTGTAAAGGCATGAGTAGTGTTGGGGTCCAGCCTAGTCAGGACAGCCAAGTCTGGTGCCTCACGATGGCAGGAGACTTGGGGCAGCAGGCGGCTCTTTCTTTCTGTTGTGTTGGAGCCCCAAGGCCCGGGCCACCAGCCTGCGGGCCACTGCTGAATCTGTCTGTGGCCTCTCCTTCGCCAGCTGCAGGAGCTCTGAAAGGAAGACCCAGTGGGTGGGACTTGGATTCAAGGCCAGGATGTTTCTCCTCTGGGTGACAGAGCATCCTTGAAAGCCAGGTGAGAGTCAGCCCACGTCTAATAGTATGGCAAATGCTGGGGCCCAGCTGTGGCCACAGCAGCCAGGAGGACCCCAGGCCTGTATTTCTGCCTCCTCCCTGTGGGACCTGACATAAACCAACCCCTCCTGTCAACCTGGTTCATCCATACAATGGGGGTCAGAAGCAACTAATCCTATATCCCCTTGCTCTGTGAGGTCGTTTTGGGGGAAACACCCAGGACAGGACACCTGGACTATTGGACATAAAGATGGGATATTTATTGTTTCTAAGAAGTCTAGGACAAGACCATGTCACCATTCACAGTGGCATGGATGGCTCCAGCAGACCTCCTCTGGGCCCATTCTGCTGGTTCCAACTTGCTATCATAGAAACTGACCTCTCAGAGCCCCCTGCCATGCTTTTTGGAAGAGGAAAGGGAGGGAGCTAACAGTTGCCATCAAGCCCCTGTATGAATGACTCGCCCCAGGTTAACTGAGGTAAGTAACAGAACCAAGGTCCCATCTAGGGTTGATCCCAAGGCCCAGAGGACAGTCTTCACGGCCCTCTGGAAAGAAGAGGGACTTCTCCTGGATCAGTGGCCAGAGGAAGAGGAGAGAAGGAGGACAAACGTACACGGTAGCTGACCCAAGGCCCTCTGCAGGCCTAGGGGAAGCTGAGTCCCGCTAGCTGCTGTAGCCTAGGCTCTTGAAGAGCAGGGAAATGAAGATGGGAACGCAAACCAAACACAAAAGCACACACAGTCTCCCCACGGAGGGACAGGCTTCCCTTACTTGGCCTCTGCAAGGCTTTGAGCTTGGACAGCTTGGTTCCCTGTGTGAGCGGCCGGATCTTGAGCATGGAGAAATCCTTGGCCATGGCCTCAGCGGCTAGAGAAAGGAGGGGAGATCTGGGATGATTCTTGTGTTATGTGAAAACCCCAGGGGTCTGGAGCACATGCAGCACCCCAAACTGCCACAGCCACTCAACACATTCAGACACAGCTGCTCTGCCTGATGTACCTCAGTAAAGCTGACAGTGTCCCCTTGTGCCCCAGATCCCTATGGAACTGTAGAGCGGGCACTGCCTGTACTGTCAGATGATGCCCCAGCCCAGTGTTTCCATTCTGAGAACAAGATGGGCAGGCTCTGCCTGTGAAAGCTGACACTTAGACCAGAATTTCCTTCTATCCCCCAAGATCCCCAGGGACAGCAGTACTCCCTGAACACTGGCCAACGTGTACAGGACATCAGGACATAGCAGATATGTTATATGGACAAAGAAACTGTGGCAAGGGCACGATGCACTCTTCGATACTGTTTATGGCAGGCCCATGAGGCAGCCAAGGCCACCCCACTGTACTGACTGGTTTTGTGTGTCAACTTAACACAAGTTAGAGTCGTCTGAGAGAAGAGACACTCAGTTGAGGAAATGCTTCCATGAGATCCAGGTGAGAGGTATTTTCTCAATTAGGGAAGGCCTAGTCTATGGTGGGTGGTGCCTTCTCTGGACTGGCAGTCTTGGATTCTATCAGAAAGCAGGCAGAGCAAGCCAGGGGAAGCAAGCTAGTAAGCAGCACCCCTCCATGGCCTCTGCATCAGCTCCTGCCTCCAGGTTCCTGTCCTGACCTCCTTCGGTAATGAACAGCAATGCTGAAGTGCAAGCCAAATAAATCCTTTCTTCTCCAACTTGCTTTTTGGTGATGCCGTTTGGCTGAAGTAACAGAGATTCTAATCAGGACACCCAGCCAGAGCTTATTCTGCCATAGTCCTCAGTGGCCACTTGGCCTTTCTTCCCACCTCCCTTCCAGAGGCTTCCTCCCCATTGCTCTCTCTGCTTCTCCCCATCCTCAATTTCAGACTTCACAAGGGCCAGGCCAAACCCAAGTAGGGTGCTCCCAGCTCTGATGTGCAGAGGCCCTGATGTACACACATGGTTCCGGATGGGAGAGGCTTATTTATAAGTGCACCCAAAATGGCAGTGGAATGGCAGGGACAGCACGGGACAGTGGCTGAAGGGGGTGGACATGGAGTCTTGAGATCACAGTGAGGAGGCTGCATGGTGCTCCAGCTTCCACAGTAAGAGGTCTGTAATCCAACACAGACCCTGGCATTGGGGGCTCGGAGTGATGTCCCCCATCCCCCACCCCACCCCAGCCCCTGAGGCTGATGTGAAATCTGAATGACAATGCACTTGCCTGCTCCCTGTGCCAAATGCCTGTGTCCTTGGGGAAGGACCTATGGCTTAGCCAATGTCACCTGTTCAGGAAATGTCACTGATCCGAACAACTAGGACAAAGACTCCCTTAGTTTCCCAGGCCACAGCCCCCAGTACCCAGAATGTGGTTCAGGCTTGCTGAGAGCCAAGCCCACGGGCTGAGGTGAGGGTAGTCTATCTCTGGATGTGGGTAGCCCTCCACCCAGGGAACCCAGGCACCTCTGCTCTCAACGGAGGCCAGGGAAGGAGCAGAGCGCAACAGGAAGCCACCTTACCTGAGGCCTGGCAGGGAAAGATGCCGATGGCATGAGTGTCATCTACCCACTGGATCTTGAACCCCTTCTCTCTGTGTGGGGAAAGGATATAGGAGTTCACAAAAGCCCGTGCTCAAGACCCTTCTCCCTTAGATCCTGCAGCTAGGTCTCTCCCACCTCAAACCCTAAGACAAAGCGAGCTCCATTTGAGGGGACTGTTGGCATACTTCCTCAACAGAACATTAAGCCAGCTCCAGAAAGACCCAATGTCACCCTGTAAACAGGTGAGCTGGATCACCAGTCAGTTAGCATCTAGGATAGAGTGGTCAGGACTGGAAGCTCGTACAGCCCAAAGCAAACAGTGAAGAACTGACTCCCCAGATACTGTTACAGCCAGGCTGGCCACGGGCTCTGAGTAAAAAAGCTAAGACTTATGGTAGGAGAGGAGATATGCCCAAATGAGCATAATGGGGACATGGCTATGGGTGGCCTTCTCCCTATTTCTCAGGAAGCCACCAAGGGCTCTGTGCCTTTGAGAAGCCAGAAGCAGCTTTGGAATGGCCCTATTCTACTAGGGGTCAGTGGTGGCCCTGTGTGTCCATATAGTTACAGAGCTGAAAAAGTAAACTGTGCCAACCCCTCAGCACAGGTGCAGAGGACAAGGGACAGTGGTATGGGGGCCAGGAATCATGGGGTTTTCATTTAATTTTATTTTATGTGTATGAGTGCTTAGCATGCATGTGCACCACATTTGTGCCTGGTGCCCACAGATCTCCTGGATCTGGAGTTACCAATGATTTTGGGTCACTATATGAGTGCCGGGACCCAAACCCAGATTCTCTTCAAGAAGAGCAAGTGCTCTCCACCCCTGAGCCATCTCTCCAGCCGCAGAAAAGGGCTTTAAAAAGCCCACACAGGTGAAGCAAAGACAAAGGAAAAATGCAAATTAGGAAAAAAAAAAAAAAAAAAAAAAAAAAGAAAGAAAGAAAGAACTCACAGAAGGTTGCATCCCTGGGAAATGAGAAGTCAAAAATCCTGTCCTTGAATATATCCCTCCAGGCTATTCCCAGCCTGCTCAGGCCAAGTGCCCCATAAAAGCTTCCACTCCAGGATGGCCTTCAGGCTACTGCAGAACCAATGACTCACTGGCATATGGAGAGTGGTGTCCTGAGACTGAGGGAATGCCAGCAAGGGTGTGCACACGCAGAACTTGGCCTGGGTCTCAGGCTTTTGAGTTTGTCAGTGCTCAAATCAACCTTTCTCTTCCCTCAGTCAGAACCAACAGGCTGACCTGCCTCAGAGCAAGTAGCCCAGACATCCACGCCTACCCTAGCCTTCCTTTCGGGGCAGGGAATCATCCAGAGCAGGGAAGGGCTGACCTAACTTCTGCCAGCCTCCCACCTGTACTACTCACTGGAACTCAGAGAAGGTGGCCAGCAGGTCCTCAGTCTTGAGTGTTGGCTTGAAGTCATAGATCTCCACCACGTGTGCCAGGTCCCTCTCCCCGGGCAGCTCCTCTGTGAAGGAGGATGTGTCCAGGTGGATCTTCTCTACCTCAATCTCCTTTTTGGTCAGGTTGGCTGTGATCTGGGAGCGAACAGATTCTTTGGCAAGGGAGAGCTGACGCACAGGGCCCCACCAAAGCTTTCCAAACTCATAGTTCTCAGGGAGAAGTTGGCTTGGTAGGAATTGGGGTATGGCAGCTTGGTTTCTCAGAAGGTGGAGGTTTTAAGGGGAGGCTGCTTGGTTTTATGGAATCCCCATTGGATGACTGTCAACTGTGCTCACTGTGTTTCACCTAATCTTGAAATGCATTTTATATACCCTCCTTAAAGATGGAAACAGGAAGGGGCAATGAGTTAAGTACTTAGTCCAAAATTGTATAGTCTGTAGAAAAAAAAAAAAAAAAAAAAAAAAAAAAAAGAGCTGGACAAAGCTAATATCTTTACTTTCCTTACTAAAATGTGATTTTTCTCAAAGACTGTACATAAGGCAGCAATCAAAGGTACCCAGCCTCCCAACTGACCCAGAGTCAACGTTAGGGCAGATACATGCACGGTCTCAAGAAAATACAATTTCTAAGGCAGAGCTTCAGGCAGGAGGTGATTTTCTCTAACAGAGAACCACACACCTGTGAGGACTGTTTCAGCTGCCTTGTGATATATATGTACTACCTTTTCCTCATATGAGGGAACAACTTTAAAAAAACAAATGTTTGCTTAGGGTTAACTATCTCCTAAATGGTCGGACTGGGACCCAAACACACAGTTCCTTCTCTAGGTTCCCTAAACAACTTCTATTACCCAACACCCAGGCCTGAGCCATTCTATATATACCCATTAACAACTCCCCCCACCTCCACCCCAGGGCCCTTCTCCCATACCCCTGAGGCCACACCCACCTCACCTCCGCCCTCCCTTTTCTGGGCTCAAGAGCCTCATCACCTCCTGCAGCAGCTCACTGAAATCGTCATGGTTGGTGTCATCATCCTCTTCATTTTCTTCCCCATCCACGTTTTCTTCTTTATCCATCCTCTCTTCCTCCTCATCCACCTTCCCTTTCTGCTCATCCATCTTCTCTTCCTCCTCATCCACCTTCCCTTTCTGCTCATCCATCTTCTCTTCCTTGTCATCCACCTTCCCTTTCTGCTCATCCATCTTCTCTTCCTTGTCATCCACCTTCCCTTTCTGCTCATCCATCTTCTCTTCCTCCTTATCCATCTTCCCTTTCTGCTCATCCATCCTCTCTTCCTCCTCATCCACCTTCCCTTTCTGCTCATCCATCTTCTCTTCCTCCTCATCCACCTTCCCTTTCTGCTCATCCATCTTCTCTTCCTCCTTATCCATCTTCCCTTTCTGCTCATCCATCTCCTCTTCCTTCTCAGCCACCTTCCCTTTCTGCTTGCCTATATCCTCATCTTCCTTACCCTCCTTCTCTTTCTCCTCTCCCTCTCCCTCCTCTTGGTCCACCAGGCTCTGCACCAACAGACTCCTATTTTCCTCCTCCACAGCCAGCTGTGGGTTGGACCCCTGCTGCATGGCTGTCTCCACCCCTTGTTCCTTCTCAGAAGGATTCTCAGAGGGCTCAGTGTCACCCAGCTCCAACTGTGAATGATTTGCATAGCCTGAATCTGGGCTCTTGGGGAACTCTGTTCCCTGAGTCACCAACATGGGAACCCCCTGATCAGCATCCGGGTCCCCAGCCCCTCTAAGCTCTTCTGAAACTCCACCAGCTGGGGCCTCTCCTTTGAGGCCTGGGATGGATGGTGCTGCTGGTTCATCTTGCCTGCGTCGAACCCGGGGCACATACAAAGGTTGATCTGGCTTACGCCCACGATGCCACCGGCCAGCAGGAGCACCTCGGGGACCAGCAGCTGCTCCCTGATGTGAGGTGTACCGAGGACCACGGTACTTGCTGGGATGGGAGGCAGGAGGGCGGCAGGGACCAGAGGGGGCATCTGAATTGGGAATCCTGGAATAGAAACAGAAGCTTCAGAGCAGGTCTGGGTCCACAGAAAAATTGAGGCATGACACTGGCAAGTCAGCATTAAGCAAAGGTCACAACCAAAATGATCCTCCGAAGAATATCTCACAAAGGCATTGTTGCAAAGGCAAAAATGCCATGCCTGACACATCCACAGGAGTTTCCCCCGTGAATGCTACAATCAGATGCTGAGTCTTTGGTTACACATGAAAGCGGGCTAATACTCCTTTTAGAGCTGTTACTAGGCTCAGAGTCACACTGATAAGATGTCCATCCTATGAGATGCACACACAGGAAGAGGAAGGATCACAGGCTGATAGGTTCTCGCCCTGAACCAGCATCTACCTGGAACACACGCTCACAGAGAGGGGGGGCAGACCCACTCTTACTAGTCTAAGTGTTCGTGTGTGTTCTCTTCCCTTAGCCCAACACTTGATTTAGCCAAGTCAGCAGCATCCCTGATGAAGCAAAAAGCAACCCTGACCTCACACAGCTGGGGGTTCCTGGCCCGGGTTCCTGACCAGTTCTACCCTCCCTGGCTAGCCAGCTAGCCCAACCATCATAAATAAATAAATACTAAAAATAAAATTGCTGAGAACCCTCCAAAGCGGTAAGATAACACACCTGATGTCCAAGTGACAGACGACTGTCCTCCTCTTCCAGCCCTCCCCAACAGAGAAGCTGCTCAAGAGATCAAAAGTTTCTGCTGTTCTGTGGATCAGGTACCGCAGGCGGCTGGAGACTGGCGGGAAAAGAAGGACCCTGGGAAGAGACCAAAGGGAGTATTAAGCCGAGGTTGTGGGTCCAACTTCTGGACCTGATTCCCACGGAGGCCACTCCCAGGTTTATAGTGGCTTAGCACCTGGCTCAGTGTGCCCAAGCCGGTCCCTGCCTAATTACAAAGCAGATCACAGGGAGCTACAGTCCTCATCATTCCGAAGAGGGTGGGCACTTCTGCTTAAGTGGGACGACGTTCGGATACAAAGGAAAGATGTGGCTGGACAATGCGGCAGAGGCTAAAGGCTCAGTCAGGTCAGGCAGGGCCTGGCCGGCGGACCAGCCAGTAACCTGGCCACAGCACCTGGGGGAGGGGCAAACCCTCCCCTTCTAAGCATTAAAGCCGCCCCCCTTCTTTCCCCGTACTTGGATAGCTGCTTCTGCACCAGGAAGCGATCCAGCTCCTCCTGGACCCGGTGGACAAAGTCATTTTCGGCCGAGGAGAGGAAGACACCGTCCAAGCAGAGAAGGGCCAGGGTGACAGATGGCAGAGCCTGTAGGGGCGGTGGACAGGGTCGGGATAAGAGTAGAAGCACGGAGGCCGCCCACAGCCCAAAGCGTTCGTGCGGCAAGGACTTTGATGACTTTTGAATCCCTGGCCGCCGTGGAGCCTGATGGGAGGCGCGCGAGTGCGGGGCCGAGGGCGCTCACGTCCAGGGCCAGGCTGGGTCCCCCGTTGCCAGCGCCCGCCTTGCCTAGTGCTAGCCGGGTTTTCCAGTTCTCGAGCTCAGCCGGCTAAAGCGCCCCGCGACACCCAGCCGCCCTTCCTGGCCGCTATCAGGGGGAGGATATCAGGAGGGAAGAACCCAACAGCCGCAGCACTCACCGCGGCAGTCCGGAAAGTGGCCGAGGCGCTCAGGATCCCCCGCCCCCCAGCTCCCCAGCGGGCTCAGCGCCATCGTGCGGCCGGGAGGAGGTATCGCATGTGCCGCAGAGGGGCGTGTTCATGCCTTGTTTAGAGGTGGGCCAGGGGCAGAGTGCTAACCCCAAAGTCACAGGGCTTCTCCCGCAAAGATGCGACCAAGTGATCATACTCTTGAGAAAGTGGAGTCCCAGAAGGATGAAATGACTTGTCTAGATTACACAGGCCAAAAGTGATTCTGATTCCAGTTACTTCCTTTTCCTTCTACAACCAATTAAGCTCACCAGACATTTGTGAACAACTACTACATGCTACATAGTGGTGGCATTATATATTCCTAATTTTAGATTCTTTTGACCAGGTTCCTAACGGAGGGACAACAAGGAAGGAAAAGGAGGCTGGAGCTGGGGAGAGAGTTTATGGGTTAAGGGGGTGTACTGCTCTCTGGGTTCAGCTCCCATTGACGTGGACATACATTCGGCATAAATAAGTAAATATATATTTTTAAAGCCTGGGAAGACAGTTGAGCTGCTAAGAGCACATATTGCTCTTGAGGAGACCCAGGTGCAGTTCCCAATGCACATATGGTGAGTTAGAACCATTGTAACACCAATTCCAGGGGACCCAAAATCTTTTCTGAACTGACAGGCATCTGACATACAGATGGTGCATATACAGGCAGATAAAACAACCACACACCTTTTTTAAAGTTTATAAGCACTGTATCCAGAATCTTCACCCCCCAACTACCCCTCCTTCTTCAGTGAGAGATCTGCAAAGACCTCGTCATGTAGAAACACCTCAGTGACAAGATGTGCAATTCAGTCTAGTAGCCACTAATATGCTGATTAGAGTTGAGTGTCAAAATCCAGATCTATCCGGCTTGCCAAACCACTGCTTATAGATATGCTATGATTAAGACTCAACACCTTAGCTGGGCAGCGGTGGTGCACACCTCTAATTTCAGCACTAGGGAGGCAGAGGCAGGCAAATCTCTGTGAGTTTGAGGTCAGCCTGGTCTACAGAGTGAGTTCCAGGATAGCCAAGGCTAAACAGAGAAACCCCGTCTCCAACCCCTGCAGCCTTCAAAAAAAAAGAACCAACACCTTTAGAGTATTGGCACAGTACCAAGAGTCAGGCACAGAAGCCCAAAATGTGATAAAATTAGGTGAATCTGGTCAGTGAGAAAGAGAAGCTGGTATATTCTAGAATTTTACCCCAAATAGGAGGCATGACTGAAAAGATTAAGGATTGAATCCTTAATCAATGGGGTTCCACTGTGCTCCTGGGTCCCCTACTGGAGTGGTGTCAGAAAAGAAAGAGAAGGAGAAGAAGATGGAGATATAGTCCAGGACCTTCCTATATAACACAGAGGACTTTCACATAACGTTAAAAGAGTCAACTCACCAACAAGTTCTAAACTGAAAGCACCAAACAGCGGACTCAAAAAACCTACAGTCAAACTTCATATAACAACAGCAACAAATGATGTTCCAGAAAACAAGTAAATGGCTGGTGCACATAATACAAAAAAAAAAAAAAAAAAAAAAAAAAAAAAAGAAAAGAAAGAAAGGAAGGAAGGAAAGAAGGAAGGAAGGAAGAAATATTTCCTTTGGATTGGAAAGATGGCCCAGTGAGTAAGAGCACTTCCAGAGAACCTTACTTCAGTGCCAGCATTCGCATTAGGCTGCTCACAACTGCCCACAACTCTAGTTCCAAGCTTCTTCGGCCTTCCTAGGCACCTGTACCACACCTGTGCACATGTGCACGTACACACATAGTTAAAAATCATCATTTTAAAGGTTTCTTCTGATTGTAAAATCATATATAACATATATGTGTCTAATGTGTTAGTTAGAAGCCAAAGATGGGAAAATAGAGCGCCTTGTACATCTCTCTAGAAATTCATATGCCAGAAGAAAAATAGACTATTATCTGTGGAATTTCAAAGGGAAAAATGTTAACAACGGAAAATTCTGTAAGCTGTGGTGTCCATGGGAAGTCTCAAAATTTGCAGCCACTGAGGAACAAATGAAGAGTTCCTGCTTGGCCTCAGATGTAGGGGACAAAGCGCTGTAGCTTGGAGACACCTTCCATCTGTTCAGGCACAGCTCATTTCCCAAAGCTTATAGTAAAATCCACAAATAATTATATTTTTTTCTCCAATGGTCTAGTCTAATAGCCAATAACTAGTCACCATGATAAAAGCAGATTTCTCTTCTCCTGGTGACTTTCTCTACTTCTCTCCTCCTTTTCCACTCAGGAATTATTAGCCATTCTCATTTTTAATTCACTGATCAGAATCCAACAATGGCCTCCTTGGTGGGTATACTTGTGACTTAGTGTGATAGCTTGAAAAAGTTTTATTCCTTCAAATTCATGCAGTAAAAGCTTTGGTTGTTGTTTTGTTTTGTTTGAAACAGAGTTGCACTGTATAGCCTGACTGGCCTTGTATGTACTATGTAGACCAGGCTGGTCTCAATCATGCACAGATCTGCCTGCGCCTGCTTCCTAAAGATGTGACCCACCACACATGACTCATGCAAGAGCTTGTTTGTTTGTTTATGGGATTTTTGGAGACAGGGTTTCTCTGTGTAGCCCTGGCTTGTCTTGGAACTCAGTAGATCTGCCTGCCTCTGCCTCCCAAGAACTGGGAATAAAGGTGTGTGCCACCACCATCTGCTTCTTGCAGATGTTTGACCCCTAAAGTTTAATGTTAATGTCAGACTTTGGTATACAAAGAACCTTTGATCATCAGAGTGTAGACCTCATGATTAAATCTCAGAGACTTCATAAAAGGCAAGGAGGGGCCAGATAGACAGTTCATTTGGTAAAGTATTTGCTGGATAAACACAAGAACCTAAGCATGGATTCCTAGAACCCACAAAATAATCGAAGCATATCTATAATCTGAACAGTGGGAAGATGGGGTTTGGGGATGAGACAGGATGCTATCTGGCTCTCACTAGCTGGACAGAGGGCTGCAAGTTCAACGACAGACCTTGTCTCCAAAAGTAAGGTGGAGGGGCTAGAAAGATGGCTCAGCAATTAAGGCATGGCTGCTCTTTCGAAGGACTTGGGTTTTCCCAGCACCCACATGGCAGCTCACAACTACCCACAATTCCAGTTCCAGGAGATTCAGTGGCCTCTTCTGACTTCCTGGGGCATTTGGCATCAATGTAGTGCACAAGCATTTGTGCTTGCAAAACACTTAGGCATATAACAAAATGAGTTTCTTATTTTTTGAGACAGGGTTTCTCTATGTAGCCCTACCTGTCCTGGAACTCACTCTGTACACCAGGCTGGCCTCAAATTCACTGAGATCTGCCGCCTCTGCCTAGAGTGCTAGGATTGCCATCACCACCTGGCTATGAATAAATCTATGGGGAAAAAAAAGTGGACTGATTGAGAAAGAAGCTGTTTTACCTTTGTTCTTCACAGGTTCACACATACACATGCACTGGGAATAGAAACAAGTAACTTGAAAAATTTGATGAAATCAAAATTGTGTGTGTTGTATGTGCCTGTTCATGCAGGTTTTTTTGTGGTATTTGTATGGTGTATTTGTGGGATGTGTATGGAAGGATTCTTATTGGGGTGTGGTGTTATGTGTGTATGGGGTGTGTGTATGGTGTGTGTTTGTGAAACTCAATTGTCACTGAAGTCTCAAGAGATGGCTCAGTAGGAAAAGATGTCACTGCTGAGTCTAACAACACCATCACTGGGACCCACACCACAGAAGGAAAGAACTGACTATCCCAATCTATCTTCTGATCTCCACCTGTGGACTGTGGTACATATATATATATACACAAAATCGATCTTAATAATCACCATGGATTGTAGAATAATATTTTAGCCCACAAATCCAAAAAAACTCAGTTATGAATACTTGCAAGCAAGAGCTGTTCCCCAGATCTGGGATGGATGTAGGGGGTGTGGCAGAGCAGATTATTCGTTACTTCCCTTTTGCTGTGACCAAGTGCCTCTGTGTATCAGCAAGAAGCTTAGGGAGGAAGGCTTTGTTTGGGCTTATAGTTTAAGAAGGGACATGTTCACCATGGCAGGGAAAGCATGGTAGCCGAAGTGTGGGAAGCTGGTCACAGCTGGAAAACAGAAAGCAGGGAATGGGACTGGACTAAAAATCCACAAGGCCCACCCCTAAAGTCCTACTTCATCCAGGAAAGACTCCTATAGGGTGCACAGTCCGTCAAGCCAGCCCTGTCAGTTGGACACCAAGTGTTCAAATACAGGAACCTGGGGGAGGGGCGGCACTTCACAGTCAGAATACGACAACACAGATAGGGGAGGCTGTAGAGAAAGGGTGAAAGCGGGAAAGGAAGGGCTGGGGCAGACGGCGGCGGCCCGAGGGGGAAGCCATCGAAAACCCACCCTTCCCTGCTCTGCCTGATTGCCTTCTGTGGGTGTCATTGAAACCCCAGCTGGTTTTTGTTGTTGTTGTCCCTCGGTCTCTAGGAGACCACTTTCCCAGCCTAGCCTGAGTTCTAGGCTTTCTTAAAGGACCAGAGTAAACGGTGTGAGGTGGTACTTGCCTGTAATCCCAACACTTAGGAGGGCAAGGCAGGGGCATCTCCATCATGAGGCCATGGACTGTAGGAGCTCATGTACTGAATTCTCTTTCCCAATACCTGGCACCCTGTGCCCTTCTCCATTCATCTCATTTACCCTTGACACAATGCTAGGTGGTAGGGCTTCTGACATCCAATTTGCAGATGTAAAAACCAAAGCAGGCGCTGAGATGGCTCAGCAGTTAGAAGCATGTACTGCTCTCACAGAGGACCTGAGTTCAGTTCCCAGAATCCATGTCGGGCGGCTCACAACTTCAGAGGGATCAAATGTTTCTGGCCCAGTGGGTACCTGCATTGGGTACATACCCACTCACACATAATTAAGAAACAAGCTAAAGCACATGGAAGACTACTTGGCCAATATCATACAGCCATTAACTTGTCTTGCTCTTGTTTCATCACCCTGGAGAGAAGGGGAGGCCCAAGGTTCCTTGTCAGGTAGGGTGTGTCCATGCAGTGGGACGCTCTGGCTGAAGCTGGCTATTTCTACTACAGCAGGAAGGATATAAAGGCCTGGCAGGCCTTGCTAAGCGAAAGACCACCAGATAGAGCACTAAGTCCCCTGGCTGTTGGAAGTGGTCTCTCCGGCACAGGGTGGGTAGGTACCACAGCCCAGGAGCAGGGTGGGAAAGCCGAGAACAAAGAGGGAGCCAGCAACACACTGAGAACAGCGGCTATGACCTGTGTTAATGCTCTGGCCTT